TAACAATAACATAGGTTAAAATTCATATGTAGCGTTTTATAGAGATCATATTTGATCATTTGAATATTCAGTTATATTTTAGCAAAAGTTGAAATGGAATAAAAAAAAAAAACAGACACTTTTTGATCCTGGCTGCTTACCTGTGAGGTCTTAAAACCTCCATCTTTGACTTTTGTGGTCAGTCCACGGACATGACTTGTAACCGAGGCAATCTGGATGACAAAATGTAAATGTATCAATATCGATAATCAATATCGTTCCAATATCAATGTGTTTGAAATATTGATTCAAATAGTCCTCCGTTGGCTCCCAATTATGTTATCATGTAAAATCAAATAGATCCGAGGAAACGCGTTGCTGTTATAATAAACCAAATTTGATCTATATATGACGTGTCTGTTTGTTCATTCTCTGAGCAGCTCGTACCTGTTCCGTGAGATTATTCAGCAGCTGAACGACTTTCGGCAAATCGCTTTCAATTAAATCCTGTCAAAACACAGATATATGGTTGAGGTTAGTTAGTTGCTGTAACAGTTTGGCCGGGTAGCTAACTGTTAGCTACTTCTCTCAAAACTCATACAACTTTATTACAGGATAATAATAAACCTTTTCTGCGAAGCACATACTTAATGTCCAAAATCATCACAACTGTGAACTCACAACCATTGCGTACATGTAAACCCATTTAATCTTTAAATTATTATCATCTCCCGTCTACTCACGTTGTCAATGGTGGCAGCCATTTTGAACTCGTAGTAGTGCTGTACGGAAGCCGCAGAGGACAAAGACAGAAAGGCGCTACACGAGCAGTATGTGTTCAATGCCCTATTACCAGAAGAGGGCTGCTACGAAGCCTTGAATGATATAAAAATAATTTATAATGTTATGATTAATAAACAACATATATTCCTTCGGAATAATAAACATTTTCAATTGCAAATATAATATTTTTAATAAATCAATGGTTAATTATATAATATTGTGCAAGTGTTAGAAATTAGATTAATAATAATACATTAAGATTGTAATAAGATACAATACATTGTTTGAAGAATGTGAGGCCGTAGTGTTAGTGTCAGACTTAAAACATGATTTTTAAGTTATATTAAGGTACCTTAATAAATTATATTGCTGTGCTTTGTAAATGTTTTTATACAAGGCAAACCGTAAAAATCCAACTCCAAGAATGAAATTGATCTATGCTCCTTAATGAAATTATACACTTAAACAAGAGCTGTGCTTTGGTGGACTTAGCATTTTAGCCCTTCTGTTTTTCCAGCTACTACTTCTGTGTTCTGCATTTTATGTTTTACAATTGTATATTCAAAAATGGCCTATTGTTTTGATGTTTTTGCGTAATGTGGACAAAAGCTCATACTTACACTGTTGAGATTTGTCATTTTCATTTCTCAAGAAAATATGATGTACTTTTATATATACTTTTCTACATCTTGGGACAGCCAATTAACTAGTAGTTATTGGGCTTGAAACTGAAGAATTGCAGTCCTAATGTATTTTGGCTGTATTGCTGGTGTGTATTACAGATGGGTTAAACAGAAAATAATTTCCCCTGAGGGAATTAATATAGTACCAAAAATAATAATAATAACAAAAACAACAACAACAATACTACTACTACTACTACTTTTTCCATTCATCCATATAAAAGAAATAAACTAAAGCCTAACATATATATTACTACATGCTTGGACAGGAAGGGTGGAAAAGACCTTAACGAAGAATGTATTGTCTGTTAATGTTATGTAGAAATACTGCTTACACCTCCACACCCCAACCTCCTCATATAACTCCTCAAACGTTAACTAACACTTAATTTAGTTACATTGACAGAAAGTAATGATGTAATAATGTAAATGTATGTGTGTGTTGGGTGGAGGGGATTCAAATGTTTTAAGTACTTTCACCAAGAATAGAGACAGAGACATAGAGAAGGGATAGAGAGGAAAGAGAAAAGGGGGGACGGGGAGGGGGTGGAGGGTGGAGAGAGAGAGGGTTGAAAGGAAGTGATGGAGTCATCGCCGCCATCATTCTCACCATCAACAGTGGAAAAGAACCTGTCTCTGACTCTGGCTCTCACAGTCGACAATACTACGCAGACCCCGAAAAAGAGTCATGGTGAGTTTGCTCAGAATTTTATTCTTGCAGTTAAACATAATTTTACTAAACAGACTGAATTTTAGAATTGTTATTTCATATTAACGATAAAACCAATTTCCAGAAAAATACAAGAAGTAAATCAAGCTGCAAGCCTTAACCGAGCCGACGTTCTTTATGTTACCATTTTAAGAGATACATTTTTATACAATTACTACGACTTATTAAAATAAAATAAAATTTATAACATCATTGTGTTCGTTTATATGGTGACATTTATTCATGTTTTCAAATCATAAAATTATTTTCAGCTCTTCATGAATTGTGAGAGAAATCTCTTGTAAAAGTGGCTACAAACAAAAAACATATTTAGTTGTACCAAATAAATAAATAGAATAGAAAAATTAAACATTTAAACATTTATTTATTTGGTACAACTAATACCAAATAAATAAATAGAATAGAAAAACTTAAAACTGCACCATTTTACTCAATGAATTAAACCAAATAGCTTAATGTAAAAGTAAAAGTTTTTCATCCTCCTGAAGGTCCGAGGATGAAATGAAACGAGGATGAAATTTTCAATCTATCTTCTTTATAATTAGTTTCATATTGCCGACAGTTTCTTTATGATTGTGAAAAATTTGATTGCTCATTTGGTCTGACATGTGACATGTTCCTACTAACTGTTCAACTCCACCTCGGACCCCCGTCCAGATGTCTGATTCCAGGGTGTCTTCTGTCATCCAGGAGTGGGTGAATGCCTTCCCAGGTCAGACCCACACTCTGAGCCCTGTCACCTCGATCCAGGCTGAACCTACCAGTGAGCTGAACCATATGGAGATGATACCATACAGTCAGTCTCAGGGAATGATGAGACAGAGCAGTGAAGACAGAGTGGCCGAGCAAATGATAGGGATGTCGTACCTGCCGTACCCCACAAACTGTCTGGGCAACATGTCGAATGTAGTGAGCACCAACCAGCACCAGAGCCATGCCAGCAGTCAGCAGGTGACCCTGAGGCTTTTCATTCATGTTTCTAATCAATGATTTAATCATTAAAAAAAAGACTCATTCGGCTGAGCTCATTTTTGTTTATGACCTCCAGGATTTCTCTGTTTTCCTTCGTCCAACTCTGAGGCCCCCTGTGAACAAAAGGAGCATCAGCAAGGACAGCGCAGAGTACCGGCTCAGACGAGAGAGGAACAACATCGCTGTGAGGAAGAGCCGCGACAAAGCCCGCAGAAGGATCCTGCTGACCCAGCAGAGAGCAATGCAGCTACAGGAGGAGAACCAGAAGCTACAGATGAGGATAGGGCAGCTGACACAGGAGCTGGATACTCTGAAACACATCCTGTCACAGCGACACCTGCAGGGTGCTGACGACGGAGGAAAACCTACTATCTGAGCACAGACCAAAGAAACTGCTTCTCATCTCGTCAACATCCAGGTCCAGCAGGTACAGTCCACAGTGGTTACCTTGGGTTTCACTCAGGTGTTTTCACTTTGTTTCAAACTGTGGCATACAGCATGTAGAAACCAAAGTACCAGCAGTAGAGACCACATTGTAAATCCAAGATGCACAACCTAAACTTGCTGAAATCTTAAAGTTGACATTGACAGCCAGGTGCCTGAGTCTGTGTATTTCCTAAATCACACAGCATTACACTTTTTATAGACCATAAACCAGACCTGGGCAAACTACGGACCGAGGCCCGGATATGGCCTGTTTGGCATTTTAATCTGGCCCACCATTATCATTATATTTCTGACTTTTCCCTGCAATGCCTGCATTTCCCCAATAGATAGCGTAAACACATTTATATTACACAAAATAAAACATTAGTATGTGGTTCTGAATGTGCAAAAAATGCTTACAGTTTTCTAATTGTAGACAGTAAAATGGTTATGATCTGTCTTTATTTAATGTGTCGTCAATGAGTACTGAGAATATGTGCTTAAATAAACAGAGAGATAACAACTAAACTAATGAACTCTCAATTCAGAATGCTAAAACTGTCCAAAACGTTAATATTTAATTCCCTCATTTCTTACTTTTTATCTTATGCATTTTATTATTTTTTTTGATAATGTTGAAAAACAGTTAACTGGTCTCATGACTCAAGTTGATGATTGTATCTAAAACNCCAAAAAACAAGACTGAAAACAAGATCCTTCTATAAGAAAATATACTTGTCTAGTTATTGTCGTTCTTGTGTTGAAGGACTAGACTATTTATTTGACTGTTTTGTAACATAAAGAGTGTCAGCCAAAAGGCTGTAGAGTGGAGACCAAATAATTCAGTTCAAGACCCCTCTTCAAAAGAACAAGATGCCAGTGTTTGGAATCCCATTTAGAGGGAAATAGATGACCAAACCACAATAAACCACAAGTTTCTGTACTATCTACGTGTTATATCTATATATTTCCTCCATCCTGAATTACAACATCTGCACATACTATTAAGTAAGACATAAAATAGTCTTCGGAGCCGTAGACTACAACATGTTTGTGGTCGTTAGTTGAGATATTTCTTCGTATTTATGAATACATTCTTTGACAACAAAAGCAGAGGAACATTCATAATCCACTTACATTCATTTCTTATATTCAGTTTATAGTTTAAACTAAAACTTAACACAGCATAATGACCGTGGCTCCTCACAATTGTACATATGTCAAAAATCTCCCGGGGGAGCGATCCGCCCCGAGCCATTCAGAGCTCTACGTCTGACATGCTGTTTTAATTAAGTTTATTAAACCATTGCTTAATCATTTACCTGACATTTGTACTGACGTTGTAAATGTTGTTGCCCAAGACAATTTCACAAGAAACTGTGGTTTCACAGAGATTCAACAAAATCCAAGTCTCTTTATTCTGTAAAATACACTGTATCATACAAGGAAATCTAAGGCACTTACAATCTTTTTTGCCAGTGCTTACTGTATTTAGACAATTTTGTAACTAAATAAATAAAGAATTTCTTTTGTAAGTGACAAACTCTGTCTTTCTTATGCAACATCTGACCCTGATCTTACTCAAAACGCCCTCGCTGATCCTCATTTGCATCCTCCGTCAGGGACCATGCACCTGTCACATCATTTACCATAAGTCGGTCTAGCCACAGAAACGGACGTCATGCCATGGACCGTTGTGCACCAGCGGTTTCCCTTTGTGGGATGGGCAAGATTTCGACACAGCGGAGGACGGGGACGAGGAGAACAGAGATAGTATCAGTGTCTCGGCTGCCAGGGCCTTCCTGTGGCTGTGATGATGTTAGTGAAGGGACAGAGAGATAGGGCTGGTGGTGGGTGGGCGAGCAGGTGGGGGTAAGGGGGTCCAACAGGCAAAACATATTGTTTTTTCCCTCTCAATTACAAGTTATGTCACTTTGGATAACAATTGTTTTTTAATAATAAAAACGTAATCCCTTTGGTGCATTAAGAAAATAAATTGAAATTAAATTCCTCTTTATTTACCTATTGTCTGTTTGGCAAATAAATAAATAAACATGGCCATGTCATCATGGTACAATGGTTTTATCTCAAGCAATGTTGGGTGTAAAGCTCACCCACATTTCCCCCACACCCATGCATGCACGGACCAAGTCTTTAGTGGATTATTTGTTCTAATCCAGACTCAAAACCCAAACTATTATTTTAACTCATAATTGAGGAATTGTTTAAATTATTAGATTAACTATTTTCTATCTGCTCCATTTATCACTGCCGACAGCCCTTAACCATATTTAATCGCTTTTGCTAAATACTAGCAACATTAACTGTTGAACAGTTGATCTAACTTCTGTAACTGTTTTTCCATTTCTGCTCTATTTAACTTCATGCCTCAGCCTTTTATGGTAACTAATAACTTTATGCGTTTATATTTTAAACATTTTCAACACATTTTCTGTGCTTTTTTTCAACCAGCATCATTTTTAAAAAAAAGAGTGAAAGTGTGGCTTGTATGTGTGTGTTTAGAGTCGCTTGGTGTCTCTAGCTGTGTGACCATGTCTGTTGAAATGTCCTGCAGGGTTGTGTGGGGCAATCCTTGGTCCCAGGACTGCAACATCTCCACAGAATGAAGAAAGACTGTGTTTCACCTAATCCCTTCCAGGTTACTCAATAGCAGCAGCAGCAGCAGCAGCAGCAGGCCATACAACCCCCTTCTACACACAGCCCCAGTGAAGAAGTGGCTCCACTCCCAGAGCAGTTTAAATATGTGGCCATTATTAATAAAGATAAAATGAACATTGGTACCAACATGCTAAAAGCATCGGGAGACAGAAAATTGAAATTGTCCAAGCATTTTGGTTTACAGGCACTTAGCATTTACTCTTTGGTATTTTAAAAATCTAACCATTTATTTTTGTATTTGTTTATTTGTTGTTGGGCCAATGGGAAACTGCTTTTTATGGGAAACTGAGCCTTTATTATTATTATTATTATTATTATTATTATTATTATTATTATTATTGTGTCAGACATAAAAACATCTTACTCAAACTCTTTTGAAACTATCTTTCTTTTTTAAATCTACAATGTTCTTAGTCCAGAGGAAGACAGAAGACGCAATACAGTTACCACTAAATTACTGTAATACAGTCACCAAGAAAAACCCGGGGTTAATGGTCTCTAGGACACGTTGGTATGTACAATAATGGGGTCTGCAATCGAGCCCAGTTCAGTGGTAGAACATTAGACTCACTGTTATGTAGGTACAAATGACCTTTCTGGTATTTAAAATATGTGGGGGACAGGACAACACCACCCTTTGCTGAACATTCCCGCCACACGTGAAATATCTTTTGAAATGGCAGGCAGATTGTAGTCCAAATCCAATGTCCACTTTCACCCTGTGACGTATGTAAATGTGCACAGTTCATTTGAGCTGCCGTTACATGGTGACTGGGCTAATTAATTGAACTACTGTCTCTCTCCGGTATANNNGGGGGGAGGGGGGGGAGGGAGGGGTTGAGTTACATTACATTATTTACAGAAACGGTCTCAATGCCCGTGTAGCACATTTATAGCGACCCATTCATTCATTTTGAGCGTTGTGTAGGTTTCCCAGACTTATTAGTTGTTGTTGTTGTTGTGTAGGTTTCCCAGACTTATTAAAAAGGCAATTACAAATACTGTAGTATCACGTATTTTACAAATCGTTCAGCAACCCTTATTTTAACAATGGCAAAGGAAAAGTGATCAATCCCGATGCTGATATTAAAAGATTTATTTTAATGTGGGACTACAAAATGAGTAGGACTGGCTGAAACAATGACACAAAGCGTCCTTTGGTTCTTTTGATGATTTATAGTTTAGTTTAATGTTAGGGAATGTATAATTGGACGGGAAATTAGTTTGTCTTAACTGATGTTTGTTCAATATGGCGGTAAATGACTGCACAGAAATGAGAGAACGGTGTATAACGTTTCACGCCAATACTAACTACATTTGAACGATTTCATATCCGTGGGGAAAACGAGCCTGGAGGATATAGACGCAGAATATCAGTCAGCCCTCTTCCTCTACTGATGTATGACTTCTGGCACCACCACGTGGCTGATTATACAATAGGCCCTATGTATCAGAGAGTACACGAGGTGCAGATGTCTCACTCTGGTATTCATACTATGAACAACCAATCTAAGATGCTTTAAGTATGGGGCAATCCCTTTTACGAATTCTGGTAGAGTATTTCAAGTTATTATAGAAAAGTACTATCAAAACTATATGTTTTATTTCTATTTTTGTATATAAGAATAAAGCATAAGGACATCATTAGAATTTAATTTCCTTCTACCGTGTGAGTTATTAATTTTGCACATTCAGTGTGTTATTGTCCAACTGTATAATGTAATTCAAATTTGTATTGATGACAAATGTGAAACTAGTCGATGTCACAGGAAAATTTAAAAAAGAAATATTGTGGAATATTTTGAGGAAAAAGTTATTTTTAACATATCACATGAAATACACCTTTATTCTCATTAACTACATAAACGTTTATACATTACCATCTTTATTCTTAAATTCTTTATTTTTAGTATAATGACCTTATTCTCGTTAATTTACTACTTTTTCCAAGACTTTATTATCTTAGATGTACAATTTTACAATTGTATTCTATTAATTGTATTTATTCATATGTAATACTGTATGTGGGCCACATTATTGTATAACAAAAATAGAAGAAAATAAAAATAATTTGCAGCTTTTTGTCATTGATGAACGCATATGGGAGGACTGTAGACCTTGCTTGAGCGGCTTCTCTTTATATAGAACAGATCTTTGAGACCCGTGACACGCGGCTACGTCGCTTTGACGGTTTTAGCCGATCACTGTCGAAGTTTTCCCGAGTCCCTAGCACCTTCACACGGGCTTCTTCGGTCGGTGTGGTTTTTTCCAGCTTCTCTTTGTCCGTCTGCAGCGGAACGACGGCAGGTTTTCCTCAGCTGAAGTTGACGCACTGCTCTACGAGTGTAAAATGTCGACAGCCAGACAGTTTGAATTAGACACAAACGGCCGGAGTACGACGTAGCATCTCACATCTCCCAGCGACTGAGGGTGAGCTGTGGTCAGGTCAGGGTGACAGCAGCCCGGCGTCCTTTGTTGTGACAGTAGCGGTGTTTGTCAGAGAACGTCCTCGGAAAAGACAGACATGTCTCGTAAAACTGTCGGAGCGTCTGTGCGTCGAGGTTCGGAGGAGATTCGATGACCGCGGAGAGAAAGTAGACTCCCCTCAGCCGTCACTGTTTGAATGTGCGGAGGAGACGACGAGCGGCCGGCAGCATCTTCTAACGACGTTTTCAAAGGTTAGTGACTGGAAATGTGTCGTTCCAAAGCTAGTGGTGGAAGTGGATCTGCTGCCGGGGCAGGTGTGACTCCGGTCTTACAGGCAGCATGGCTCTGTGTGGCCCAGCTGCGTTTGTTTTTCTCGGGTTTACATCATTGTTGTGTTCCAGTCTCGGTGCCTGGTTTAGTGTAACTGTTTGGTGTTTAGTTTGTCCACAGAAGCTGGATAGACCCCGTTTTATTCACATCCCACCCCCGGCTAAAAGCTGTTATGTAATCCTTTTGGGATTCCTTTTTGTCACATTCCCAGTGTAGCGACTCGAACACTTGAAGTCCAAGGATTGACGAGAGAATGTCTAGAACATGGTAACGGGAGAGTTATGACAACACGAAGTTGTCCTCGATAATACTGCATACAAGCCATATTGTAAAAACAAGGAGATGGTTTCAAAACTATACATTCTTAAAGATTGCTAGGGTGATAGGATAGAACAGGAAGTAACTTCTAAGGACAAGAGTTGACAGCCAGACATCTAAAAACACAGACGGGACACAACTAAAATGACCAGACTGGGCTAAAGAAATGTATTACGAGCTAAGACCGTTGAAAAACCATGGCAACACTAACACTGGACATGGTTGGTGGAGATCAGAAAAGTGCCCAAAACACTATGGACAAGTTTGAGCCGAAATGGGTTGTGGGACAAATTTGACTTCTGAGGACAATTACCCAAAAGTTATCCTGTCAAGGACTGGCTAATCCATCTGCAGGGTTACAAGGTAACTGATAGATTTAGGTTAAGGACAGTGTGTCGGGGTTTAGATTACTGTTTATGGCTAATAGGAGACATTTATATTCTAGAGGACAATATTGACATAGTTTCACAACAAGGTAAGGACACGTTTAAGGTTGCCTGGTTTAAAATGAGCATCTGCCACTAGAGACAGACAGTAGGAGTTCCCATAGCTCTTAAGGTCAGTCCTATATTTTATATTACTCATCTCTTTCTTCCACAGAGCTGGTCTACGCCTCCTGGATACAAAGCACAGCAACCACACGCTGACCTCCACCTTTAACCGCCGCCGACGATGACATCCCCAGACTCACCCCCCCTTGTCTCCCCTTCCCCATGCCCTGCTCCACCTCCGTCTGTCCCCTCCTCCCCAGTGCCATCCTCGCCGGCTCCCTCCTCCTCATCTCTCCCGGTGCCCCCCTCCCTGCCTCCTACTGGTGAAGTGATGGTGCTGGCCCTGGGCAGGAAGAAGCAGAGGGTTCTGATAGCTCTCTCCATTCTCCCCAACCTCTTCCTGGCCTTTCTTCTTTCCTCTGATTCCCTCATCACCCTCTCCCCACCACACCACTGCCATCTACCGGGGCCTTTGCCCTCCCTGGAGATGCTGAACACTTCCTTTCCCTGGGAGAAGGGGACGGGGCCCGGCCACAGCAGGGGCCCGTCCCAGTGCAAGCAGTATGCCAACGGCAGCCAGTCAGCGGTGGTGGACTGTGAGGCTGGCTGGGACTACAACGTAACAGAGGGGCTGAGAAACAACATCGTGACAGAGGTACAGTCCCAATTCTCGGGCTGACAGGCCTGGCCTAGTTTGTGTAGAGTAAAGTTTGGTTCTTTTTTTTAATCATCATGCTGAGCACACACTCTCTTGTTTTGCAAGCACTGGTAAAGTTCAGAGCAGATCTGGGTTTTTAAGGGACCAGACCAGTGCTTTATAGCATCTATTAGCTTAGTTTTAACAGACAAGTTGGGGGGTCACTGCAGCCAAGCGTCAAGGAAATGTTAGAGATGCACCCACTTACCTTGTAAAACAAGGTATTTCAACTGCATTCACAGCGCCTCCTACATATCGGAGAGAATGTCTCTGTTTAAAAATGCATATTAAAAATGCTTGCTATTAAATATTATGGAGAGAGTACACAGATTATTGTAAGTGGTATTATGTAATAAATGTAATTAAAAAACAGGTCATTATAGCATTAGTGCTTACTCGAGCACTCTCACTCCATAATGTTTTAGGTCAATTGTAGTACATGATGTAATCAACTTCTGTGAAGGGTTTTCACGCCTTCACATTAATGCCAGGTGTGGCCTGTACTGGCAGGTAGGGTAAAGGTTACATAACTTGTAACCTTTAACTTGTCAATATATAGTTGGAGTATGTGGGTATGTTTTAAAAGACCAGCTCTGGTTTACTCATCATCCAGATGATGAAAGTGTCTGCAGAATAATAATATAAATCTTTCATAGTTGTATTTTAGTAATGCATTCAGTTCGGTTGGCTACAGTAAATCGATGTTGACCTACTGTTGATGTCCCACTGACATTTTCACCTACGGACTTCTCTATCTGATTAGACAGATTTCTGACTTCAGAGGTGGCGATGCATCTTTTAAGGCTCTCATGGAATTTCTCAGACACTGCTAGTTGTAATGTGCATGCTCAGTGCTCTGCTTGTTTTGTTTGTATATGCTGTTTGGAATTTGTTAGTCACATGATTTTAACCGTCCAATTTTGAGACCCGTTTGGTGTCTTCACTTTGGTTTGATGTAGTTTGGTCTGCTAAGCTTCACATGTCAGTCCTAATCCATCTTGTTATTAGACATGCCTGGTGCACAGTGAGGTTTGAATCGGAGCAATCACACATATTGTAACTTCAGCAGGGTTGAAATTAAAGAAATCTGTGAGACACATTCTGTGTCTCTGAACCGTGGGTCAGGTTTAAAGAGGAGAAAATATATGTTACCTGCTCCAGTATTAACTAGTGACCTTTAGCACAACTCGCCCAAATTTGTCACCTTATTGTCAAGTGTTTAGTGGGTAGGCCTGACTGTTCAGTCAGGAACTCTGGGTCTGCTGCACTGGATGTATATTAATCTTCAGTGAGACAGTGTTACAAGAGAGTAAAACTTGACAAAAATGAGGCAAGATGGCAGTAAGGCTACTTTAAGATGTAACTACCGTACATGACTGTTTTCTCCTGTTATTTAAAGCTTGAGACTTTAACTCATCAAAAAGGAACATTGATGACTGTTCATAAACCACAGATGATGGAACATTAATGACTTGCCTTTGGTCTTCAATGTAGCATCTTTAAGCTAACATCTGTGTTGTTACCTCCGCTGACACGCAGATTGGAGATAAGTTCAAGTTGAAAATGAAACATTTCCTCCCTTTGATGCATTTCATTTTGGTTGTTTTAGTCAGTATTTCCAGCCTGATGTTGAGTTGCAGGCAGTGTTTTTCCTTTTTAATTCTTATAAATGTAAAACCAGAAACATAATCTTGCCAGCCGACAGAGATCCTGTTCCTGAATGACCATTTAAGATGTCAATGTGGTTCCAGCATGTCCAGCTGAACAAAGCTCTTCCTGTTTTTCCTTCCTTTGTCACTGGTATTTTATTTTTTAAATTTATTTCAGAGATGGATTTTTGAGTCACTGCTCGATTAGTGTTTAATTTTTTTTTAACAGTTTTATTCTCATGCTTCTGTTCATCTCTGTGCCTGCTGACGTAGAGACCACACCCATTGTTCCAGGCTGTGGCATCAGGGTGTTTTAATCCACCCACACCACTACAGCTGAACAGATACACAAGCACTGCTATGGGAGCTGTTCAGCAAGAGCACGGAAATAACTCAGAACAAGGAGAGGCTGAATGCCTTTTTTATCTTTTAGATTATAATGCATGTAGTTTATATTGTGTGTTTTTTTTAGCTGTTATGATGATTATGATCTGTTCCTGCTGGGCTGCTTTGCTTTAGTTGGACTGAGATGGTTGTCCGGACAGGAAACAGGAAGTGCCCGGATGGCCTTCATTTCTGCTTCTAATCAATAAACACTTAATCACTTGACTTGGAAGCACTGTTTTGCTTTGTGTTGTGATGTATTAGCTCCTGTCCTCAACAATTTACCTACTTTTTTATTTGTTGGTTAAAAAAAAAGAAACACAACGATGATGTGTTATGATACTACTCCATTTTGGATTCATATCTTGATTTTCAGTTTCTGCAGTCATAGCAGCTGCAGCAGATTTCAGTCCTAACGGGCACGGTGTCGCTGGCGGTGTTGCTCACGGCTTGTTCATAAAACCAGTCTGAGGAGTTTCCAAACCAGTTTCAGTGCTTTTGGCCAAAGCATTCCACCCTCATGTGCAGAGTGAGCCGTTGTGCTGCACCGACCCAGGCCCTGAGCCCTTCAGGAATGGAACAGCTAATATTATGTGACATGCTTTTATGTATTTGTGCACAGGCCTGACTATACAAGTCCTTTTCATCATTAATGGCCCTCTGTTCTCCCTCCCTCTGTTTTTTTTTACATCATTAGTATTAACATTTTGCTTTCAGTGAGCGGCAACATAAGTCAACATCAGAAGTATCTGTGTGTGTGTGTGAGTGTGTACAGATCAGTGGGTCGCCTTAATAGGATTAAAAGTCACATGTTGAGAACAAAAAATATAGTTTCCCTCTCCACAGATGTTTGAACATTGCATGTCCCTGTGCCTCTGTATTATGTGACCACAAAGAGCCTGTTACTGCTATTCCTGTTGGTGCTGCTGTTTCTGCTGCCCGGGTTGCTAATTATAAACAGAGTACACCGCCGAGTGTCCTGTCCACACACTCAGTAATGGCAAGCCGTTTAATGTCCCCTTGTCCTAAATCAAAAGTCTAAGACAAGTTTAAAAAACAAAAAGCTCCTTGTTGTGTAATCTGACCTTATCCTGCAAGTTACTCATTGATAGACATTAAATACAAAGTAATTCAGATTAAACAGTCTAAAGGCATTACTGCCAACTTTCAAACCACAGTACAGCCTCTTGTCCTGCATTACAAACAATTAAGGTGATGTCTTTAAGGTCGTTTTACAATTTATTTGGTGAAACATTTCTGAATGCTCAGAAACTCCAAAATGGTAACAAGGTGGTTTCATGCTCTTTAACATACAGACTTCTTCAGCTCCACTAATCTTCCATCTACTCCCTTCTCTTGTGTCTGTGTTGTACAGTGGGACTTGGTGTGTAACCAGTACTGGATGGTGCCTTTGGAGGAGGTGTGTTTCATTTTGGGTGTCCTTACTGGCTGCCTGAGTCTCGGCTACGCTGCTGACAGGTATGTGCCTCCCAAACTCAGTATGGTCTGCCTGCCACTGTGACACAGAAAGACAACAAAGAAAAATTACTTGCAGTAAATAAATAATAGTTTTCAGACCCACTGAAATAGGACAATTTTCCACTGCATACCTGATAATCTCTCTGATAATTGCTGTGAAGTGCTGTGCTGTGTGTATTCCACAGTAACCAGAGAAAACCCATGCTCACAAAGACTGGGAGTTGGACCAGCAAACCCCTTGTTTGTATGAAAAGTGTTCTATACTCAGATGAGCTTCTATCTAAATTGGATGCAGTGCCACCAGTGCACACCTGCATACCTCCCTGATGGGGAAGAGAAGCTCACATAATTGGTTGTTTGTGCGACCTGTAGTGGTGACTCAGCAGTATATTCATATTTAGATCAGGCATATCCTGTGTAACCTAAATCTTACTGGAGGAGCACACACTCGACTAGGTGGACGGAGAGCAGGGTTTCGGAAAGGAGGCTTCAGATATTCTCGCACATTGTAATTGCAATCATAAATCCAACATTGGTTAAAGGATTTCCTGTAATTTTAATGTTGAAACGAGGTTTAGATTTATTATTTCAGCTGGTGGTTTCTCCATCTGCAGCAGCTGCAGGCCAACAGTCGCCAGGCTGACAGATTTAGTGTTGCACATAGGAAAGGGCATCTTACTGAGCTTTTCATCACAGCAAGAAATCATTTTAACAAATATTGGTTCTGGCCACTGAGACACTGCAAAAATGATACCAACTGGTTTATACTAACCAGTTTATACCCTTGAGCACAGAATGATGAATAAGAATGGGAAAGTAAAGACATTTGTCAGCTCCACTTAGCTGCATTTTACCACTGATAATTGACACAACAGATCCTGTCTGTGTGTTTTGTGTTGTCACACTGAAAGGCACACAGGGGGAAGCTGCAGTTCTGGGGCACAGCGAGGGAGATGATGCCAGTTCAATCAGCTAACAGCCTTCATTAATTTGCTGACCAACTAAGCGTAGCATCTGTCTGTTAGGAGTGACGAAGTAATGCTGCCTCCAGAGACGGGGAGTGGAAACTGGAACAGTGTTGATCTGAAGCCTTTAAGCAAAAGAGCTGCAACTGCATTATATATATTTATCTGTCTGAAATATAACAAAATTAAATATTGGTATTGTCTTAAATGTGTCATTTTATGTTTGACAGGAACCAAAAAACAATGTCAAAATGGTTGTTAATGTGTGTGTACAAAAGCATGTCTGTTGTTGCAGGTTGGGCAGATCCAAGGCTCTGCTGACCTCACTGACTCTGTCTGTGGTCTTTGGGGTTCTGGTGTGTGTCTCTCCAAACCCCTCCATCTTCATCGTCATGCGTTTCTGTCTGGCAGCAGCCAGCGCCGGAGTCTACCTCACTCTGTACATCAGTCGTAAGTTGTTTGATTGATTGATTTTTTTCATTACGTCGTAATCAACACAGACTAAAGAGTTCACGTTTACTGACATGTTGTGTTTGTGTGCCAGGCCTGGAGCTGTGTGAACCCTCCCTGAGGCTGATGGTGACCGTCCTGGCCGGGCTCATGACCGTAGCTGGAGAGCTGCTGCTGCTCGGTGTGGCTGTTGGCTGTCAGTCTTGGAGGGGCCTGCTGGGAGCTGGAGCTGCTCCGCTAACGCTCTTTCTTAGCTACGGGTGCAGTTTTTTTCTTTTGTCTTCACTGATATCAAAGGCTTTAACCACAGAGCTTTACTGTGACTTGATTAATGCACAGTAGTAAACAAAAGGGTTGTGAGAGTGAAGGCCCCAAATAATCTTTCAATAAAGCTTCCTGATGCCAAGTGACGTGGTAAAAGCTGCTGGGCTGTATTGATTCAGCTCCATTCATCGCCCCGAGCCATTTAACTCACGTCAGAACACATTAGGCCTGGTCCTCTGAAAGTTCTCTTTCAAGATCAGCCTTCATGCCATTCTTTCTGGGAATCAATTTAATCACGTTGAGATCATTGGCAATTAATCTGAGGTTTTTATAAGGGTGAAGAAAAGACTGATCAGGGAATTAGGGAATTTGGTTCCTTATGATCTACACTGCATGTTTTCTTTCTCTTGTTGTACCACAGTATTCCTGGAGTTTTTCCAGAGTCACCTCGCTGGCTCCTTCTCTCCGAGCGATCTGCAGACATGAGTTCATTTGGCGAGAGAAGGAACTCCAACAGAGACGTGAGGGATGACGAGAGCTTTACAGGTGTGTGTGTGTATGATTGTGTGTGTGAGAGAGCATTAAGGGGTTCTACTTCCTCATTCCCTTTTTAAAATGAGGTTGACTCACCAGTGCAGGCCTGAGACTCATTCATTTATCCAGCCTGCATTATTTATGTTTGCTATTGTTTGAGCACCTATCACACACTGTTGCCTGGGAGCATGTAGTGTTTGTTTTTCCTCCAGTCATTATTTATTCAAGGAAATTAAATAATAATTGATTAAATTTCCGGCAGGTTTTATGCAGGAGCCAGAAAACAGTCTGAGCTGCATATACTGTATAAAATAAAAAAGAAAATATATAAAATAGTTTTTAATAACAGCCGTAGTGTTGGATAACAGTTGTTTTTACTTTCATACCATCTAATTAAAGACTATGAAACAACACCAATAATTATCAGTTGCATTGTTATCATCAGCCAATGCTTGTATTTACATCCTTTAACTTCATGCTGCTGCAGGGTAGAATAATTATTAGGCAGTTTGTCTCAATTATAACAGTGAAGTGGATTAAAAAAGAAAAAGAAATCTGCTCCTTATTTACCCTGAATATAACAGGAAAAATAAAGTGGAGATTTAAAAGAGAATTACTTTAGTCATTGATGTCAATGTATGCGGTTATCCTTTATTTAATTATATTTATTACTTCTGCCAGTTGAATTTCAGTAGAGTTCTGGAGGTGTCTTTTACACCAGGTCCGCAAGTCAGGTGTCCATCCAAGTTTAAAAACTGAAACATTTCAAAATCACAACATCCATCTTCCTACTTTTTCACTTATAACTCCTCTTTGTTCCCCAATCCTTATAAATGGAGAAACATTTTTGGTGCCTTTTTGTTCTACAGAGCTGGACTCGGAGCCTTCCCCCTCCTCTCGTCCTCACCTGTCCTTCCCCGAGCTCTTCCACAGCAGGAACATTTGGAAGAACATCTGTGTGCTCGGCTTCACCTCGTGAGTCACCCCCCTTTCGTTCCGTTTCCCTCTGCATCCCTCTTCCATGGAGTCACTTTGAAAATACGTGACCCTCCACGTCTGTCATCCCTCAGCTTCATCTCTCACGGCATCAGTCATTGCTACAGCTCCTTCCGAAGTGACGTCAGAGGCAACGCCCCCAGCTTCTACTGGACGTACCTGTTGTCGGTATGTGCGGGTGGCGGTGCCTGGCTCCTGCTGTGGGCAACGGTGAACAGGTGTGGTCGCCGTGGCATCCTGCTCCTGTTCATGACGATGACGGGTTTGGCCTCTCTGATCCTTCTTGGGCTCATGGAGTGTAAGTCCACTGCAGGATGTGATTTTTATAGCAATCACCAAGGAGACCTAACGATAGTCTGAGCCAATATAGTAGACCAACATTAGTCATCCACTGCCTAAAGAGTCATTTCATGGATTTTTACAATGAACTGGAACGAGGCTAAACCATAATTAAATATACTTGTTATGTTTATCTTGTTTTTCCCCCACAAATAAGGAAATAGATTGAAAGTAAAACCTGACTGCTGAGCTCATGGAAAATATGAACCACATGACTCTGTGTTTACTGCCCGGTGAGAAACACAATGTCTCCCTCGTGTGGCGGATGAAGTGAACGACATGGGGTTTTATGTAGGACACTGCAGTGGCAGCAAAGACAAAGCTGTGTCAAGTGATACCTAAATGATTTATTACAGACTGACAGGACAGATACACTGAACCACAGGAGGAGGTCACTGCTGCTCGTGTCTGCTGTCAACACTGAAGGAGGTCCAGACAGGGCTGAAGAAACAAAGGAGCCAAAGTCAATACTCCTCAACCAGTCGATCTTTATGAGACTGGTCTTCGCAGCAGTTATGTCTGTGCCTGAACTCGATCTTTGCATTTAATGACTCTTCTCTCCTAATAGTGTTTCAGGTTATGTTTGTGGTTTACTACCAGACCGTAAAAGCATCACAGTCGTCTTTATGTTTTAGAGTCGACCAGTAGAATTTGCTGCAGGTTGTTGCCCTGAAAGTATCTCCTTCTTCTCTCCTCCTTTCTTCCATCAGACCTCAGTGAGACAGCTATCACAGTTTTCTCAGTTCTGGGACTGTTCTCCTCTCAGGCCACCGCCTCACTCTGTATCCTCTTTACTGCAGAGATCATGCCCACCATTATCAGGTAGGACTGCAAACACACAAACACACACACACATGCTGTGCTGGACCCATGACATAAATAGAAAATGTTGCTGTTGTTAGAAGCCTGGTTCAACACTCAGATAATATACAGTTAGATTATGTTTAAGGTTAGGAATTTAGAGTATTTTTGAGGGGTAAAACAATCTTATAAAAGCCTTTGTTAAATGTCTGTTCTGACTTTCGTGTCTGTGCAGAGGCAGTGGTGTGGGCACCGTCCTCGCCCTGGGCTGCGTAGGACGCCTCAGCTCGCCGCTCATGGACCTGAGGAACCACTACGGCTACTTCCTCCACCATGTAGTCTATTCCTCTCTGGCCCTGCTGGCCGTGCTGTCCATACTGCTGCTTCCCGAGAGCAAGAGGAAACCGCTGCCACAGACGCTGGGCGACGGCGAGCAGTACAGACGCCCACCGCTGGGGCGGAGGAGGAGGGACAATGTGCCGCTCCTGGCAACACCCAACCCAGAGACTTAGGAAGACACGGAGGGTGGACTGTGCTGACATTAGTCAGTGTGTCTGACAGGACCCAGACGGAGGAACAACGAGGCCGATGTCTCCTGAGTCAACCTTCAGTTTTCTTTGTCTTTCTGTTCACGTGTGTGTTATTGTGTCACACCCACCCCCACACACACACACACACACACACTCTATGTTTAGCAGCACCTCTTTCTGTGACAGACACTATTCCTCCACTCTGTGTGCCTGTGGCAGAGATGTCAGCTGCTGACGCTCCACACGTGACAAATCCCTGACACTAGCTTTGTGTTGTTCTTCGCGAGCGTTGTTGGATAACAGTTGTTTTTACTTTCATACCATCTAATTAAAGACTATGAAACAACACCAATAATTATCAGTTGCATTGTTATCATCAGCCAATGCTTGTATTTACATCCTTTAACTTCATGCTGCTGCAGGGTAGAATAATTATTAGGCAGTTTGTCTCAATTATAACAGTGAAGTGGATTAAAAAAACCCTGAATATAACAGGAAAAATAAAGTGGAGATTTAAAAGAGAATTACTTTAGTCATTGATGTCAATGTATGCGGTTATCCTTTATTTAATTATATTTATTACTTCTGCCAGTTGAATTTCAGTAGAGTTCTGGAGGTGTCTTTTACACCAGGTCCGCAAGTCAGGTGTCCATCCAAGTTTAAAAACTGAAACATTTCAAAATCACAACATCCATCTTCCTACTTTTTCACTTATAACTCCTCTTTGTTCCCCAATCCTTATAAATGGAGAAACATTTTTGGTGCCTTTTTGTTCTACAGAGCTGGACTCGGAGCCTTCCCCCTCCTCTCGTCCTCACCTGTCCTTCCCCGAGCTCTTCCACAGCAGGAACATTTGGAAGAACATCTGTGTGCTCGGCTTCACCTCGTGAGTCACCCCCCTTTCGTTCCGTTTCCCTCTGCATCCCTCTTCCATGGAGTCACTTTGAAAATACGTGACCCTCCACGTCTGTCATCCCTCAGCTTCATCTCTCACGGCATCAGTCATTGCTACAGCTCCTTCCGAAGTGACGTCAGAGGCAACGCCCCCAGCTTCTACTGGACGTACCTGTTGTCGGTATGTGCGGGTGGCGGTGCCTGGCTCCTGCTGTGGGCAACGGTGAACAGGTGTGGTCGCCGTGGCATCCTGCTCCTGTTCATGACGATGACGGGTTTGGCCTCTCTGATCCTTCTTGGGCTCATGGAGTGTAAGTCCACTGCAGGATGTGATTTTTATAGCAATCACCAAGAAGACCTAACGATAGTCTGAGCCAATATAGTAGACCAACATTAGTCATCCACTGCCTAAAGAGTCATTTCATGGATTTTTACAATGAACTGGAACGAGGCTAAACCATAATTAAATATACTTGTTATGTTTATCTTGTTTTTCCCCCACAAATAAGGAAATAGATTGAAAGTAAAACCTGACTGCTGAGCTCATGGAAAATATGAACCACATGACTCTGTGTTTACTGCCCGGTGAGAAACACAATGTCTCCCTCGTGTGGCGGATGAAGTGAACGACATGGGGTTTTATGTAGGACACTGCAGTGGCAGCAAAGACAAAGCTGTGTCAAGTGATACCTAAATGATTTATTACAGACTGACAGGACAGATACACTGAACCACAGGAGGAGGTCACTGCTGCTCGTGTCTGCTGTCAACACTGAAGGAGGTCCAGACAGGGCTGAAGAAACAAAGGAGCCAAAGTCAATACTCCTCAACCAGTCGATCTTTATGAGACTGGTCTTCGCAGCAGTTATGTCTGTGCCTGAACTCGATCTTTGCATTTAATGACTCTTCTCTCCTAATAGTGTTTCAGGTTATGTTTATAATTTGTGTTTGTGGTTTACTACCAGACCGTAAAAGCATCACAGTCGTCTTTATGTTTTAGAGTCGACCAGTAGAATTTGCTGCAGGTTGTTGCCCTGAAAGTATCTCCTTCTTCTCTCCTCCTTTCTTCCATCAGACCTCAGTGAGACAGCTATCACAGTTTTCTCAGTTCTGGGACTGTTCTCCTCTCAGGCCACCGCCTCACTCTGTATCCTCTTTACTGCAGAGATCATGCCCACCATTATCAGGTAGGACTGCAAACACACAAACACACACACACATGCTGTGCTGGACCCATGACATAAATAGAAAATGTTGCTGTTGTTAGAAGCCTGGTTCAACACTCAGATAATATACAGTTAGATTATGTTTAAGGTTAGGAATTTAGAGTATTTTTGAGGGGTAAAACAATCTTATAAAAGCCTTTGTTAAATGTCTGTTCTGACTTTCGTGTCTGTGCAGAGGCAGTGGTGTGGGCACCGTCCTCGCCCTGGGCTGCGTAGGACGCCTCAGCTCGCCGCTCATGGACCTGAGGAACCACTACGGCTACTTCCTCCACCATGTAGTCTATTCCTCTCTGGCCCTGCTGGCCGTGCTGTCCATACTGCTGCTTCCCGAGAGCAAGAGGAAACCGCTGCCACAGACGCTGGGCGACGGCGAGCAGTACAGACGCCCACCGCTGGGGCGGAGGAGGAGGGACAATGTGCCGCTCCTGGCAACACCCAACCCAGAGACTTAGGAAGACACGGAGGGTGGACTGTGCTGACATTAGTCAGTGTGTCTGACAGGACCCAGACGGAGGAACAACGAGGCCGATGTCTCCTGAGTCAACCTTCAGTTTTCTTTGTCTTTCTGTTCACGTGTGTGTTATTGTGTCACACCCACCCACACACACACACACACACACACACTCTATGTTTAGCAGCACCTCTTTCTGTGACAGACACTGTTCCTCCACTCTGTGTGCCTGTGGCAGAGATGTCAGCTGCTGACGCTCCACACGTGACAAATCCCTGACACTAGCTTTGTGTTGTTCTTCGCGAGCGTCAACATACATGCCTAGAATATTTTTTTGTTGTGCGTTGTGCGCGACGGCGCAAAGGGTTTTCAGAATTTTAGAAGAAAATGAAGGTTTAGCTTTGATGTCTCACTACAGTTAGGAACCAACCCTGACGATCGTTGTAACACCTCTGGAGTTGTAGGATTAGTTTCTTTATATTGTCACACTGTTGTGTTTCAAAAATGTTTGCATGGTTGCAGAGAAGCTGAGTGGAGGTTTTTGGTTTTTTTTTTTGATTTTGAGAAATGAAGGTCCGTTTGAGCAGTCTTTAAATTTAAAGAGACACTTTTCCAAGGCAAAAAACATACAGCAACACAAAAGGCCTTAAATCTGAATAATCACTTTGTTCTCAGTGTGTGGCAACAGTTACTTAGTCTGACCTGGAGTCAGTTGTATTTATAAATTGTAGTTGTTAATAAGAGCCATTGATATAACTGATCCAGAGGCTAGATGTTTTTGGTACTAAGCTCAGCGTTCTTAAATTAGTTTGATATGATGCAGCATGAAGGAAACCATCCAATCGGGGATGTTTCATTCCTACCTGCATGTTCGGAGGATCCTAAAGGGCTTGTTTCTCTTTCTCTCATATTTCAGTATTTTTTTTTAATTCCAACCATTGCTGTAAAAAAACAAACAAAACTACCGCAAGCGAGAAGACCAGCAGTAACTTGTGCGAGGAAATAATTTGTTTTTGTCGAGACTTGTTACATGACGATTCTCTGAAGTGCACGTTTTTCGATGCTGGGGAATCGAAACCTGTGATAAAATGTGCGACTGGAAGCTGCTGCAGGAGCCGAACTGTCAACTGAACCCCTCAGTCCTCCTCACTGTCTCCTCTGCTGACTCCCATATCTGTTCTGAACTGCTGGTTTGTCCTCGCCCAGGCGTCTCCTGGACGAGGTGAAGAGGATGCTGAGTATATGATTTATGGAGCTGCTAAAAGTTTCTCTCTTTGTCTGTCTGCCTTTTGATAGTTTTTTTAATTTTTAATTTCCACTGTGTTGCACTCAACATGTGAAAAAAACCCTAACTAAAACTAATACATTGATTAATAACTTGGCTTGAGTAATATTATATTTGACAACACTGATCTCTGTGTTCAGTGCTGCGTGTGATGCTGTAAACTCTATAGCCATGTACAAAAAATAAACTTGTATTATAAACAGGTGATGGTTTCCTCTAGAAAACATTCTATAGTGTAACGTGTAAAAAACAAATCTGTCAAGTTTTCAAAGTAATACGTCATTCAGACTCCAATACTAACAGTGGCATTACCATTTTCTCGTATTAAAACAAAAAGGGTTGGGGACTGCTGTATTGAGGCACCAGGGTCGCAACAAGGTTTGTTTCCTGTTTCATTGCTGCTTGTGTGATCAGTTGCAGGTGTGTGATTGGAGGGTGCGGCGTGTGTGAAAGATTCCAGGTGGATCCTGTGAGCTGAAGGGTCCTTTGCTGGATTCTTGTTTTATTTCCTCTATTTATTTTTAGATATTAATTATTATTTGTTGGTGGGTTTTTCTGAATATCTGATGCAGGTCGGTCTCTTTTTCCTGTTCTATATAATTATTTCTATGTCTATGTTATTTCTAAGTTAATTTTACATTTTCCCTTGGGTTAGGTCTTCAACAAGAAATAAGACAGTGAATGAACTACAGGAGTGTCTTATTTACAAACCAAAGGTAATTTGAAAATATCACTTATTTTTTCAATGCATTAGATCCCAGCTCTCTGGATTGCAGTTAGACATGCCACAATAATATATTATTTATAAATTATTTTTTTAAATGTCTGCATGCCTTGCATTTTCCTGGAAATTACATTTACAATTTATGTAACTTTTTCGACTGGACGAAACTCAAATTTCCAGATTTAAAACCTCCCTAAAACTTCAGGAACTTGATAAGCTGATATGATATAAAGGCCTCTGGGAGTTCTTGCTCTAAGATGTGGTAACTGCAATTAAAACTCCTGACAACAGTTACTCCACCACAAAGTGAAAACAGTTTCATGTGTTGGCTTGAAAATGAGTCCATTCCTCTGCTCGATGCTTCTTAACTAATAATACTCTGCAGTACTGGGACTTAATGAAGCTGATAGTAAAGACGAGCACAGGCTACTGCAGCTATAATGACACTAAACTTCCCTGGCGCTGAGTGGGCGTGGCCTCAAGTGCCATCGCAACAATCTGTTGCTCAACAATTAAACAACTGCGCCAGCTTCAGGTCGAGGATTGTGCGCAAGTGTGGGGATATCTGATGTTTTGGTTCACACTACAAAATAAAGAAGCACCAAGACACCACTAGATGGCCCAAGAGTTCCACTTTGGGCATTATCTTTGAAGAGAGAATAAAGAAACTTTAAATAGTAGTTTATTAAATAGTAAAATTAAATATTATTTTACTTCAGACAGGAAGTTTTCTAGCTTCTCTCTCTCTCAAGTTACTGTGTCCTCTCTTTGGCTAAGACTTGTACACTTGTACACAATAAAATCATAAAAATATTTTACTATTAAGTCAAAAATTAAACAAAGTAAATAGTATTATTTTAATAAGTATTTACCTCCACCAAATAACCCATGGACTAGTACTGATCCACAGACCCCTGGTCTGTACCGCTGACATTCTATCTATATTTAGAGACTAGGTTCATAACATAGACTTCAGTAGCTGAATGCACTTGTATTAGTTTGTGCTTTAGCATTAATCATTTATATATTTATATATTACCATTTTCTATTTTCTATTATTCTATATATTATATTATATCGTTTTTCTGAACTGTGTTTCATATATACAAAGTAAAAATGAAGTTAAACAGCTATTAACCTACTCTAGAACATGAGTAATACGAAACTAACAGGAAACCATCAGTTCTCCCTTAGTGTCAATAACATGTTTTTATTTACTCTGTAAGTACACAGCTGTTGCCTGGACCAACTGCTGCTCTTAATTTAATATGACATCAATAGGAAAAAATGGGTTCAAACAGGAGAGCTGTGAAGACACAGGCTCCCAGGCCCTTCCCTCATGACATCATGGATAATAATGTAGCCCCACATGTCAGTGTGACAGTCTCTCTTGGATAAAGTAACCGAGAGGAGGAAGTCAATCACAAAACCTTTACCTGCAGCACATACAAAGGTAACGCACTAATGATTTTACAGCTGTCAGCTGGATGTTTCTCCAACAACCCGTCGTCATAACAACCCGTGTTGTTTCCATAGCTTAGAACACAGGGACACACCCGTTTGAATAATGTGTAACTGCTGAAAGTGCCCAACCATATTCTAATTAGATAACAGTGTTTGTCTAACACTGGCCATTGAAAAGCTGGAATGTGACCTGAGGCACTTCTTCTGTATTCTTCATGATGCCACTACCCAGCATGCCACTGGGCTAATAAAACCTGCACAAGCGTCCTTGCGAAACATCGATGCAACAAAATAGCTTGACACATCACATCACAAACGTGTCATGAACTTACAAACACTCCCCAGATAACTGATGAGAACGTTACATTTATTTATAAAATACATATATTAGGACTTTAGATCGTCAATGTGCAAATAGGAGCAGGGGTTGCATCAAGCACAGATAATAACATTTCTCTTGTACATGCCACACTGCAAAACTTATTATTATTATAACTCGTTATTTAAATCTTCAACGCAGGAGACTGGTGATTAAATATATTCTTAGCAGAATGAAATGCAGTGGTAAAGAGAACACCCTATACATAAGGTTGATTATTACAACAAGTCCCTCACTAAATACATCACTGACAATACACTGACGGTTCATCTATACACTGTACATGCTTAAAACAGGTGTTGATAACATCATTCTGGGTTGTTCATACTGTAGCATCCACCAAGTAGGAAAAGTAGATCATGCAGGTTAGCGATAACCTTGGTTCACCACGAGAGCTGTCTGGTTTACACAGAGTATACATACGAGCCTCGCTCCCAGGGTGGATAAATACAAAATCAAATAATATGAAAAAGCAGCATTTGGTCAGATTGTTATATTCACTTCTGTTCAGTTTTGTCCTGTTATTTTGGTCTGAAACTCGAATCTTGGAAAAAGTGACAGTGCTAGTCCCCACTACGACAAAATAAAAGTCCAGAGGAGGTCGATTTACCTTTTTGAACATAAACAAAAGCAGGATAACGTAAGCCAGGAGCGCCCGATTGTTTTCCCGATTTTACAACTCTGTCTCTTTGTCGTCGCCGTCACCCGCTTCTAAGTAATATTCATCGTCTGTGGTCGTGTCCGAGCAGCTGTCTGAAGACTCTTCGAAGGTACTGAGGCTGGACACGTAGCCTCTGGAGGGCAGATGCCCTCTGGACGGCTGGCTCTCTAGAGACTGTGGTGCTCCCGGTGGGCTCGGAAAGGTAGGGGAGGATTTGCTGGGAGCTGTAGACATGCGTCTTGACACTGGTGACAAGGGAGGGGTCGGAGGAGGAGTTGGGGGGCCCTCCGCATCCCAGTCGAAGTGACATATGTTAACATTAGAACTACAGTGGGCGTCTGACTTTGAAGCCGGGGTGGGTGCAAGGTGAGGATCGAAGACGTCTGAATTCCAGTTTGCCAAGCACTTTGTCAATGATCGCGGTAGAGACCTTGATCGGATTTTGCCAGAACTACAGGGAAAACCTGATTCATTCGAGGGCTGACCATTATTCCCTGTGAACCAGTCGGTTTCATCCCAGTCCTCACTATAACAGGCACGAGTCAAAGACGACTTGGGGAGGTCTCCGACACTCATGACTCTGGCTCCTGTGGAGATGCGTCCAGGACCTGAGGGTCGACTGGACAGCACTGAGCTGACGGAAAACGACCTTCCGGGCACAATGCCATACTTTAGGTCTGCGTAGGACGTTGGTGAGTGCTCCATGTCTTGGCCCATTCCTCCAGTTGGAGGAGCTGTGGATGCTCGACTCCTACAGGTCCCTAAACTCAATCCTTCTCCTGGCTCACATGGTGAGGAGGAGTCTCTACGACGCTGCAGCTTTGGGCTGTAGAAAACATTGTCATCTGTTACTTCAGGTGAGGGAAAAGGGGAAATGGGGGCCAGAGAGGAAAAGGGAGAGAATGGACTTTTTGGGCTGGACGTGGACTTCCTTAACTGGGTGGGATAACCACCTGATGGGTTTGGGATCCTGCTAGGACTGGGATCTCTACTTGTTGGATACTGGTTGCTGGACTTGTTATCTGTCTTATTATCTTTGTACAAATCACACTGATAAAGTGTTGGGCTGGATTCTGTGGCATGAACTGGGCCTCCACTTTCTGATTTATGCCCAGGACAATTGTTCTTTGCGTCTTGGTCAGTGTCAGGAGTTGTTTTTTCTGTCCAAACTGAGAACTTATCTCCCCCTGGTGGTGGTACAATGATGTATTTGTTTTGATCCTCACCGACCTTAACTTTGTCCTTCACCAACAGTTTTCCTTTCTGTGTTTGCTCCTCTAACATTTTAGTGCTGTCAGAAGGGACATCGCTGACAGTGCTAACGTCACTTGACCCACTGACAGAGGGCGTTTGTGAAGACCGCCTTGATTTCCAAGGAAACAACAAATCGTCATCTGAACGCCTGGGGCTGAATGTTTGTCTCAGTTTGTTCAGGACCTGGTCCATTTTTTTGTTTCCTTTGCTGCTTTTCTCAGAGTCTGACCTTGACAAACTAGAGTTTGGTGTGCTCACACTTTTCTTCAGTGCAAAGCGGCTCCTTTTTGGACTTTGTTCATTGTTGCCCTCTACAGAAAAGAACCTGCTCCTGCTAAGCAAACTGTCCTTCATCACTTTGTTGCAGCTTTCATCACCATGTGACTGACTTCCAGCTGAGCTGGAGCTCTGGTTAGAGTAGCTACGTGGTTCATCTGACACTTCCTTGATCTCTGATGTATGTGACTGTTGACCCAGCCTGTTCTCCTCTGTGTTTGCAGTATGTTTCTCAGGCTTAGGTGTGGTGTCCTTTGGCACAGGTATTGCTGTATTTGCTTTTGTTTTAATGCTGTACACCAACGTTTCAGTTACACATGTTGAAGAGTTATCTACTTTACCGCCCTGTGAACACGCAGAACTAACATCGACCCTGTTGTTTACAAGTAACACCTGACCGCTCTGGTGAACTGAAGCAATGACCGTGCTGTGATTTTTGGGAGAATCGGTTTCTGAAACCAGGAATTTAGAAGTTTGATGAGAAGGTGGTGTTTGGTTCTGGGGAGGCAAAGACAAGGTCTGGGGCGTGCTCAGTGGAAACTCTGATGGTGGACTCGGATTAGGACGTAAGGAAAGCTCTGAGGGATAAGTTGACTGAGATGTTTGTTTAAAGAGTGACGATCTGATTGTTTTTGTCTTCGGCTCTTCCTGTGTTGATCTGCTCGACATGAGAGTGGAGTACGGTGGGGAGCTGTAACGGAGCCTGTATCCACTGGAGAAATCAGGAGGGAGGGAGAGAGACGTGGAGGAATGGCACTGGACAGAGTCAGACTCAAAGCATGGTTTTCTCTCCCTTTGATTTGCAGTCAGGTCCTGCCTTATAGGGTCGGAGATCATTCGCTCACCAGGCTCCCGTTTCCAACCTTCTTCTTTTGATATTGAGTCGGCACAGTCTGATGACATCGATCGGAACTTGCATCCTTTCTCTACTTGTATGCTGGTGGTTTTAGGGGCAGCGGGGCACAGAGGCGCTGTGTTCGTGGTTTCACTGCTTGATCGCAGAAAGTTAAAAATGGACGGGGCTCTGACATTGCGGGGGCAGCTGGATGCAGATAGAGGACTTGGTGAGACTGGATTAACTGAATCTGGCTTCTCTGCTGTGATAGGCTCTGAGGGACTCTGTATATCCACCGAGTCATCCCATGTTACTCGTCTAACTTTCTTTCCCTCTGACCTTGACTTTGAGTCTCCATCTGGACTGTCCAAAAACATTGTCCGTTCCTTGGGGCTGGACGATTTCAAACAGCTGGGGCTCTTGTTAACAGGTGTAGCAGGCGGAGTTGGGAAAGAGGAAGGTGTGGTAGTGGTTGGAGAAGTGGAAAAGACAGGAGTGGCAGGCGGAGTGAGAAGGGAGAGGCTTGGAACGGTTGTGATTGTTGGACGGCTCCCTGTGGAAGAGGAGTTGACGGATGCAGTTGGCACAGGACTGTAAGTTGTTTTGGAAGCAGGCCCAACTGTGTGAATGAGGCTGGACACTGATTTGGAAGGCAAAGGCTTAGGGAAGGAGGCGTAGCTTCGTTCAAAACCAAGTGGTGTGGCGTTTGTGGTGTGGGTGAATTTGGACATTTGGGAGGATGGAGTGTGAATGTTGGCCTTAGAGGAAAGCTGATGAGAATGAAAAAGAGGAGTAGGTTTGGTGATTGGGGCGGTAGTTTTAGAAGTAGAAGTTTGATCATTGAGAGAAAAGCTGGACGAAAAGGAGTGTTTGGGATGCATGTCAGAATATATGTGAGCAGATTTGAGGCCCATGTTGGTTTTGGACGGACACTGATTACCAGTGTATTTGCTGCTGCTGTGAGTGGGTGTAGCTGGACTTATATTTTGTAGAGTAGGATGTGATTCAGCTGCAGTTACTGTAGATAATCCATTACTCACAGCTTTCTTGCAGAAATCTTTAGGTTGACTCAGTGTTGTTTGTGCTGCATCGCCGCTAATTTTAAACCTAGACGTAACACTGTCCACAATATGAGGGTTTTGTGGTTCTCTGTTATTCATACTGGAACCATATTGTTTTGATAGCCTGTCTATTGTCTGCACCGGTGAATCCCAGTCATTTCTTTGTTTGAGGCTGAGAGTTCCTCCCTGCGTCTCCTTCATAAGTTTCATGTTACCTGTGCAAACTGACTCGTCTTTGTTATTGTGGTCTGCATTTTGGGGAATCTGACTTCTGAATCTGTTGTCGGCTGGAACTGGCATGGACAAGTCAAATGAGGGTGTGGTCTCCTGGGCTTTGATGTTCGGCGGACTGTTAGGAGTCAGAGGGGAAATGCTTTCCTGAGTAACCTGCTTCCACCAGGAAGTAGTTGTCAGCGTGGTCCTTTGAGGAAGGGCGTGACTTTTCAGGAGGGCAGAGGGATCATACGGAGAATGTCTGAGCGAGGACAGCGACCTCTCTGGATATATGTGAGGCGTTTTGTCTAAACCGCTGCAGTTCTGCTGTCTCACTGAGGGTGCACCAGTCAAAGATACATGTTTAGAACATGCTTGTGGTTGTTGGACAGAGGGTTTGTCCACTGTGTCTTTCTTTAATAGGGATGCTGAAAAGACGTTAGGTTCAGACATGTTGTGTGGAGACATGACGGGCCCTGCTGAAGCTGCACTGAAAGACTTTGCTCTTTCCTTGTCATTGTTGTTTTGAGAATGCGGTGCTGTTAGCAAATGCCCTTGTTGATCTCTTGAAGTCTTGCTTTCTTCTGAAAAGCTCGAGGCTATGTTTGAATTCCGGCCACTAGAGTTCATTCTTCTAAGAGAAAGAAGCAGGCTGCTGGTGGTGGGTTTGGAGCTCAAGGCCGTGTGCACTCCTTGACTTCTGCTCTGTGGAGTTTTTGGTTGTTCTTTCAGATTGACGAGAGACGAGGACAAATGTAGAGATCTGTTAGTAGCGACAGGGCTTAAAGCACCCGGATTTAAATTCCTGTTGTCCATTCTTCCAGAGTTTACTTCCAGAGGAACAGTCTGGATTGCTTTTCTTTTTGGGTCACGGTCTAATCTTGCAGAGTCACTATTACTTGACCAGTCCACTGTATTCCTCCTTACACCCATGAATGCTGCTCTTTGTTGGGTTAGTGCTCCAGCTGTGAGCGACCTCTCCAGACCACGTGGGTTTCCTGAAATGTTGGTCATGTCCTGGAAAGCCCCCTGGGACTCTGAATCTCCAGGTCCCTCATACCTTTTACTTCTTCTTATTCGGCCACTCCAGTGCGGAGCAAGGACTGAAACCATAGTGGAAGACAGCATGGTCTCATTTGGGTTGGACACTACTACCTCCTTGTGGTTGTCAGCCTTTAGATTGTCTCTTATGTTTCTCCTCAGCTCCACAAAAGTCCTTCTTGTTTGGGTCTCATATGGAAATATGTGCGACCCATTACGCTCATGTCCTCCAAAGTCATCATTCGACGACGTGTGCTTTACATTCAGGTGTGCAGAGTTCTCCAGTTCACTGCAACGTGCTGTGACAATGTCCTCTTTCCCGTGGAACTGTGGGTTGTCACGGGCGACTTCTTCTGCTTGAGATGTTCTTTTGTTAACCTGTTAAAAGAAGAAGAATAAGTGTGTATAACACATACTAACATATATGTACAGTAAGTCATCATTCCGTAGGGTGCACAGCCATTACACATGCTGTCTGTTCTTCCCAGTAGGAATGCTGGCAGTAGTCAAAGGTTTGCTCAAGCTCAGGTTCCCATGTTGTAGCTATTGAAACGATTTAGGCCTCGACAAACAGGTTATTTTGAAAGACATGAGATTTAACAGAACACACACACACACACACACACACACAGACACAGACATCCGTCCTACTGCTGAAAAATAATACGTTACTAAGAATGGATGTTATGTCAACACCTTAGTTATGTCTGTGTCAATGACTATTTGGAATATGTGCTGTAGAGAAAAATGAAAATAAAAAAATCCCAATTAAACCAAATTATGAAAAAATAAATGAATAATTTAATTCTTACCTGACCACAGATGAGTTCAGTCCTAGCCCTCAGTGGTTCAGTAGAACTGGAAAGACAGAAGAGAGTAGAGTTGTGTTAAGCACAGTAGTCACCACTGTGGGACACTGCACAACTTCATCTAGCCAATAAAGAAATTGTGACAAGGCAATAAATCATCATTGATTAAATCTATAATTCACTTCTAGTTGTATGAAGCAACTACTGCATATATCTGGGTAAAACCTGAAACTGACTGCAGTGAAAGATAATCACAGAAAACCTTGGTGTAGACTGTACCCTGCTGAAGCAAACTTAGATTCTTAAAACCGATTGTGACGGTGTCCATAACAACTGTCACTTTTCCTGTGTTTTGTCGGTGTAATGTTTTTGTGTGTAACATTTTAGGAATTACACGCCTCACATTTGCCACACCAAGGCTGAGTAACAGGGTGGTCAGCATTCCTGCCTTAACAGTTTTCTCACTGTCACACCAAGTCACACCTCACACCTGTGTATGAAAGCCCTGACAGTAGACTAGCATGTTGAACATGGCAGCGCACGTATGTCACCTGTGTGTACCGTACAGTACATACACACAGGAGCAGTGCCTTCTCTTGAATCCATGATTGTATTTATTGGCTGAGGCATAGAGACCAGTTTCAAATAAAACTCACACAACACAGTGAAACCCCGTCTGGTCTGACTAGAGGGGAAAGACTCTTTATCTAGGATGGCCTCTTATTACCTCGACTGGTGACTGAAAGATGATTTGTGACCGTGTATCACATGTAACTGTGAGGGAGGTGGACCATATCCCCATATTAAAACTCACATTCCTTCTTACAGAGAGCAAACAAAGGTCGCAGTTCCCCTTGTTAACCTGCTTTGCCGTACAACTGACCCTTGTAGTCAACATGTCATAAATCACAGCATCACCAGCCACAGGTATGCTGCTCTGCAAATCAAAAATAATAATTTTGATGTTCAGTTTCCGTTTTTACCAGCAGAGCTGCAACTAAAAGATCTTTGCAGCAGCTGGCGTTACTAGTTTTTTCAATTCCTATGAATCTCTCAACACTCAAAGTTGGTTCGCAGCCCATCGTATAGACCAGGCGTGTGCAAACCTTTTGACTCGTGGGCCTTCTCTACGCCATCTATAGGGAAAATGTGGGCATTGCAGGGAAAAGGCAGGGGTATAATCACAATACAAACCAATGATATAATTTGGACAACTTTGGCAGGCCGGATTACAAAGCTGAATGGGCCGCATCTGGCCCCCGGGCCTTAGTTTGCTCATGCCTGATTGAGACCAAATGGCCCATCAATCTCACTGACGAAAAGGTTTAATTTGATTAATGAATGAATTTCAAGCAGCTGACGATCTGCTTGATCCAGTGACCCATCATTTGAGACAATGATTCAAATGCTTGTTTACTATTCACATCAGTTGGTGTTTTTTACTCCACTTATCAAGTGGAACTCACTGGTGGCCACAGGTGACCAATAAAAACAGCACGTCATGCTGCTGACACGTCAGACAGCAACAACAGCTTTCATGCTGCTTGACAACAACAAGCTGATAAACACTGAGACGAGCGGCCTGAAAAATGCTGCCTTCTGTCACACTGATTTATGACCGCGACCCTGACTCTTCTCAACAGAGAAGTCAACAACCAAATGATATGTTTTACATGACCATTAATCTGTAACTAGCACTCACTCTGCAGCCCGCTGGTTCAACAACAGGCAGAAGGTGATGTGTCATTTTGAAAAGTGGTTAAATAATGCAGCTGGCTAAAAACCATAATGCTCCTTAGCCCTAATGAGCATTTGAGAGAGTGACTTATCCCACATGCTGGGGCAGGTGAGTCATTTGTTAGTCTTCTTAGGCATAAATATTTACTTGTATAAAATTGTCCCACCTGTCCTGATAGGCAGTGAGAGAGAAGACATCATCTGCTAATCCCAGAAAATCTTCTGCTGAAGATTGGCCTTACCTGCCAGGACAGGAGTCAGGCTTCGATTTGAGTCTTTGGTTTGCTCTGTCAAAGCTTCGATTCTTATAAACTTCTAGGAAAAGAGAGGAGGTATATCTGGGTTCCCCGGGGTTACGGTAGTGGACCCCTGAGCCCTTTCTGTAAGCAGGGGGAATTAATGCTGAAAAAGATTGAAAATGTTGTCAATGAAATTTACAACAAATGTTTTTCATATATATAAAACTACTATATATATATTTTTTTACCTCTTTGTGATCTATACCGTCTGAGGACTGACCAGTGATGGACCTGAACTGATGAAGATTCATGACTTTGTTGTTGGAACTTTTCACCAACTTTTTCATCTTGCTGTGCTCTAAAAAACAACAACAAAAAAACAAAAAAAGTGAAGGTCAGTGAATGACGTGAATGACAGTGAAGGTCATTATCTTTGATATGTGCCGATTTGTTAGAAATGTGATTAATTAATGAGGTGGGTTGGATTTTTTGATCATCCTAGGGTTCAGTGTCATGGTCTTATTTCTGGTTTTTGTTTGTTACAGTTATTAAAATATAAATTCTACTTTCCATAGTAAAATGGAAAGTATGAAAATAAACAGCTGAATCCAGGAAACACATTCTTTTTTTATTATACAGCACACACAAAAATGGATATGGCCTGTAGAGCCAGTCAAACATCAATGCTGCACCTTATCTGCTTTTATGTAAATATGAGGGCCATTGATCAGCTGTGCAGTGCTGTTCCACAGAGGAAGGTTTTCAACAGGGTTTATAAAAATTCACATAAATAAACAGCTGATTCTATTTGTGTTCAGCAAATAGTTTTTCTTGCTTGCCGACAGCAGAACAACAGTTAACCAGTGTTAAGGGTGGGTCTGTGCATACATTTTACAGTGAGACACACTGAAACAGGGGTTTTATCTCTCAAACTGTAAATTCCAGTACAGGACCTGATGTTGTCAGTTGGTCTGTGTCATGACAGGATGCAGCACAGAGAGAAACTAAGGTCAATATAAAGTCGGTCAAACGTGCATCTTATCGCTGTGGCAGAGCCCGACTGATAAGGCTGCAGTTACATAATGACTACATGATGTTAACGCCGTGCTTTCTCTCACAGTCGGTACTAACACTCCCACTCAGAAATGAATATGCACATTTTCAGCTGAGCCCACACTCAGCCACACATCATGAGGACGCAGCACTCATACATGTTCAGAATATCTGTACAGTTTGTTATCAAACACAGTTTAATACCCAGTGAGCTGTAAGGACTGACACCTTTATTCTCACAGGTGTGTGTGTGTGTGTGTTGTTTCTCCTGCTTTGTGTCATGATGATCACACAGAACTGTTTGGATCCGTCTTTCCTGACCTAATAACAATCACACCCTGCTCTGCCTCTCCATATCCACCTTGCCTTCAGGGGCAACACCCTGGTTTCCTTAGAACAAAATAATTTCAGTGATGCTACGATAAAAAAGCCTGACATGATGTGACATGAGAGAGTGGCAGAGGGAGCAGTGAGGGAGGGGGAGCTTCATTCTCTCTGACTGCTAACACAGAGCCAAGGCCAACACACCTTCCATGTGGATGTTTTCAGCCAGTGCCTGAGGCAACGAAACAAATCTTACAATCACTCAGACTTCTCAGCCCATGTGAGCATGTCAGTGACCGTGTTTGGCTGGAGGAGCCTGACGGTGGTACATAGGGGAGGTGTTGGCTAGACTGCTGAGATATACCGTCGTCATTTACTCTCATTATGTGAGACAGGACTCAAAGACAGATGTGTCATCATAACTTTCAGGTGTTTTTTTTCTGAGTCCAGTGCTTTTAGTGTGTGTGTGTGTGGGATGATCTAATCAAGTAATCCTTCGTTTTCTCTCTGGGCAGACCTGACAGTACAATAGTCAGAACAGGGTGTGTTTTACTTGTCGTGCCTATTGTGATTAAAACAAACTTTGCTGCATTCGTTCTCTTGGCCTTAATCACCTTAACATGTAAAAAAGCTTCCAGCTAATCCTCGCTGCACACCAGCTCATAAATGGTCCACCTCTCATGATCTGACCCTGGTAATTGTCATGGTGCCTGATGTTAAATCTGCATGCAGCAGTTACAGCAAGAAAGACATCATGTTGCCAAATGTGTCATAGTCAAAGTTAAAATGTTTGTACATGAGCAGAGGAAGCAAACATGAAGCAACGATGAGTCAGTATTCAGCCGAGTGGTCAACACTGTGTTTGATCTGTGGCAGGACATCATCCCTGACATAACAAATGTGTTCAGTAAGATCGGTAACAGTGACTTCATTTGACTGTAATGTGGACGTTTGTCCATGTCCATGTCCATGATCATGTGACTTCTGTTTGGTGTCAGTGTGAGTAGTGCTAAGTGCTAAGTGGACTACACTTTACACAAGCTGTTTCTTTGTGAACCCCCGTCCCCCCATTTTCTACTTCAGGTTTGTCACAGTGTGATCTTCACTTTATGTCTCACTTGCAGAAATCAGACTGAAATCAAAGTACAGAAAATATCTTCACCTAATTGCGGTTTCTTGTTGCTTTCATGGCTGCCGACTGCAAACATTAACTGTGCGTTGTGCAACCATTTTTGGAATGAGTGCAACATTGTTCTGCACAGTAGTGACACTCCACTTGGACTTCTGATACATCCCTTTGTCACTTATGCTGTCAGTTGAATTTTAGACATTAGCTGCACATAGCTGTACAAAAATTTGTGCAGAAAACAATTACGACCACATTAATGATTTTAATCCAAACCTGAACATCTCGTCGGTGAAGCTGCAGCTGTGTACATACATAGATCTGTGTGAAACTTTTCTTTTTTACAGGCTTCATGGGTGGATGACTAACTGTTATCTTTGCATGATTGTTTTCTCATGCAAGTATGTTGGTGTATTCTTCACAGGAGGTCAGCCCGACTGTGGGTGTGTGCCCATCTCTGCCAGCTAGCACTTACATAACAAAGAGCCAGCCTGAGCTGAAGTGTGGGTGTGTAGAGCTGAGCACTGACAAACACGTGTTATGTTCCAGCTCCAGATCTACACCCTGAACATCTTTTTAAGGTGATCCTAGAAACCGAGGTAAGGCATTGTACAGGGCAACACCACAGTGCACAACAGAGTGAGACTTGTTCTGAGTGTTGCCACACCTTCAGGCCTGTCAAACTTCCAACATCACTGTTTGTCTTTAACATCATGGATTACATATATGTATATACCATAATAAACAGTGGTGGCTCTGAGGTGTACGTGTGTAGGCTCGTAAGGCAAAGATGAATGTGCAGGTTCTCAGTGTGACGTGTAGGCGTGGGTCAATATGAACACCGCTGATAAATTCAGCTGATCACTGATATTGTTTTATCAACAACTGTGACAAAGCATCGATTTTACATCAAGGAACAATTACTGGAAGGACATTAAACAGTTTCCTTATATTTGACACTACCTGGGTGCCCCTGTAATAACATAAATACTTAGCATAACATAACATAATTCTGATAGAAAAATAGTTCAGAGCTACTGTTTACGAGCTACAATTCTTCTTGGAACTATTTATTAATGTTATGAAACAAAACATTCCACAGTTTTCCACTCAAACAGAAATAGTTGCGCTGCCTTTTATTACTATGTTGTTTGAACTTTCTCTTATGTTAAATATTGTCAGTCATCTAAATAGTGTGCAATTAACTTTTTCCTAAATACCAAGAATACAAAGTAACCTAAAATACTGCTTATACTATAAAACATGTGGCAATAAATAAACATCTGACTAAACAGTTTTTTTTAAATAAATAATTAAAATATAATTTAGATGAGGATACTGAATTTCTAGGTTAGTGTACATTAATGTAGTTTCCGCTCCATCCCTACAGGGGGTGCTAAAAGGCTACTCTGATTTATTCTATGTGGTAATACTTAACTAAATTATTATTTCACGTCAAACATTTACGTAGATCTGCAGATTGGTGGTTGTCTAAGAAGGTGTGTTGTTGTGTGTTCATAAAGTCCTTTTACAATGGACTACAGGAAATACCTTGTACAGTTTAGTGTTAATGGAAAACAATATTTCTCCATCTTAAGTTATTATGTTACCACGATTATATAACGAGAAGTCCAGGACTGACAAGAAATATGCAGGAACTTCCTAAATGCACTCTAAAATAAACCACTTATATTAAAATAAGGCGAGCAGTGTGTGCAGCCAGTTATGACTTCCCTACTGTTTCTGCCCAGTCTGTTGGAGCAGTGAAGCAGCAGCAGAGGCCAAAGTCTGCTCCACACTTTATATGCGACATGTTTTATTCACCACGAAGCAAAGTCACGTTAAACCAAACCCCTAATCAAAGGTTGACACGTTTCGCACACCAAAACTCCTGCAGTTTTACAAACTCCAATTCTATGAGCGCCACGCTTACACATAACGAAATGCGACATATTTACGCAAGCAACTTTATAAACATCCAAAGTATCTGCATTGCAACAAAACTGCGTCTAAAGTGCTGGCTGGTGGTTTACATTAACGCCGAATTGACTCGGCCAAAGCTGGGAATCTAAGTGTTATCTTTGTTTAGATATAAGGCTATGTGTGCGCTTTCTGACGAACACTAGCGCGTTAAATATACCGATTTGTAAACGGAATTCGGCGTGGTCTTCACAGCGCACACGAGTGCAGCTCGCACAGCGGCTGAAGGTCGTCAAAAGACATTTGAAGTGCTAAGTAACAACACTAATGGAGTAAATGCGAACTGTGGATACACAGAATAACAACTGAATGCAAAGTACGGGTAGATTCGCAGACAGAAGGACTTACCGTGCAGCCGCGGTCGGTGCTGGCGGTGTAGTGCGGAGCGCAGGCGGAGCAGCCCTCAGCTGCGGCTCTGCTCCTGCGTCACTTGTTGACATCCTACATGAACCGGTTCAGTGAGCGGTGCACACTGGCACGGCCAAACATTCGAAAAATGTGGCGAGGGGAAGCCACATTCACAGAACAGTGAACAGTGAAAGTGCACACATACCAGCGCCCGGGTTGAAGGTTAACGTGTAACACCTGCAGTCACAAAGGTGAGACCATTAAATCAGCACGGCCGCGTTCCATTTCTTCAACTATCAGTAACGTTTACTTCCCAGGACAGTGGACGACTACTTTTTGAACAATTAATGGAATAAATAAATATTAATACATACAGTATGTTCTGACACGGTAAATTTACATATTTTATATTATTTTCACATCCAACTACTAGGGAGGGACATGCAATAAAACACGTTTGCGTATATTTTGATCGTATCCTCAACCAACATATAAATGATTGATTTTATGACCCTGGAATGTCACTTTCATTTCATTTGTAGAGGTGTGGAATGAAGTAGAGGAACGATGAGACTTCTGAAATAATCGGTTATAAAAACGAACTATTAAAAGGTTATAAATTAGGTTCAAAAGGTCAAACATTTAGAGCAGGTAAAAAATCATTAAAGTTGGAATTTGAAATATAGATAATCAGTCAGAAAGTAAGATTTCACTAGAAGATAATTTATTCAGTCCTAATATTTGGGTTGTTAAATAATATAGTAATAATAAATACCAACCATACATAGAAATCACCGCTACTACTACTACTACTACAAATACTACTACTACTACTACTACAGCGTTACTACTATTCAAAGTAGTACCACTAGTAGTACTACTAACTACTAATACTACCACTAAAACTAGTACTACTAATAATGTCACTATAAAAACATTATTAACTTATACCCATTTCTATGTATTCCTTACATGAGTTGTAGTTTTCCTTGTGACGTTTGGCAGGTGCACGTACCATGTCTTAAACATGGGCCAACAATGTTGCCTAGTTAGTTTAAAATTAATTTTATGGACTGATGTGCAGCTGCAACTTAATCACTCTGCTCCTTTTATGAACCATTGAGCAATTTGCACCAATGTGTTTGCCTTCGTTTGTACACATTTTGACTAAATTTTTAACATGACAAACATCTAAAGTGAATGACGAGGAGGGAGAAACATTCTAATGTATTGATTGTCATTTCCTCAATCAGTTTCCCTTTCTCTGTGGTGTCATTAGAACATTCCTCATATAAATGAGTGGAGTCTATTTTAATTGAACACTATTTAAATGTCAATTAACACTGTAATTAATCAAAATAAGAAGAGATGACACAACAACCTGCTTATAAAGGTCATGGAAAATTGACCCCTGACATAATGACAACAGTTATAATAAAGTAGACACAGTGGGCGCCAATAAAAGGAACCATTAAAAGGTTTCTCTATAGTCAGCCTATAGGCCAATATGAATGGATATGAACCCCAGTCTGTAGCATCATACAGAAGGAGGCTTCAGGGCAAAAAAATGTTCACTAATGAGTTTCCCACATGATCTATTCTACATTAAGGCCCAGACTGACAATAAAGCAGGTGAAATTATCAGCACAGAGTTTCGGAGATAAAGAGATTACCTGAGATAATGTGTTATGTACACAGTGACTGCGATCTGTCTGTGTTAATCTGCTGTGAGGATCTTAGAACAGGGTTTCCAGACTTAATATCTGACGGTGCTATATGTAAATGCAGTAATAACCGTGTATATATTTTTAATTATCATTCATTGTTATAACTTGTTTGCAATGGTTACTCAAAACAGTTCAACAACAGGAAAACAGGAAACGTTTTTTGTCCTACACCAGCCTTTCCTCTCTTAGGAAAAGTTACAAACATGTTGAAGCTTTTGTGTCCATCAGCCATCCACACCCTTCATCACATGGCAGCTCTGGCTCAATCCCCACAGAAGGACTAGCGCCCTCTTGCTGATAAAAAAAGAAAAGAAACCAAAACACTGCTCCCCCTGCATTGTCAGGAATGAAGAACGAATCTGTTATGTAATGCCTGTAGCCTTGGGCTGTTACACTATGTGATTACATGGTGGCAGCACATCAAACACCTGAGCTGAGAAACTGTCACATCACACTTTAACATTCTGAATCTGAAGATCAAGTTGTAAAAACAACAATCAGGAAACGTGATAAAGCAGCCATACTTCTTTGTTCAATTAAAAAAACATATATACACATAACATATCGTTATATTTATATCTATAAAGTATGTGGTAAGAAACGCCATCCGTACACCACGTAGTACCGCCTTTTGCACTCTTGGTGTCTTTGATTGTGTCAGATGTTGGCAACACTTCTCAGAGATTTATGGATTCATCATAGAGCAGCGACACACTTGAACCGCTGATGTCCTGTTCTACCACATTCTACCTCATTAACTCCAGGGGCTGCTGGGTATGTATCCTGTTCATGGACAGGAAGAATATCTTTACAAGAGAATACCTGAGGTCATAAAGTGATCACGGCAGCAATGCTCGTATGGCTTTTCACATTCTGATCATGTGTTACATCTCAAAGCATGTCAACAAAACTGTTCCTGTACTTTAACTACACCACCACCAGCAGCAGCAGCAGCAACAGAGACAGCAGCAGCAGCAGAGACAGCAGTCTGTTGACATTAACAACTGTTTGGCTTCGTGGACTCATGGTGTTTATACTAAACTCAGGCATGTGCAGCTTCAGCAGAAAACTGAACAAACAAGACAATGACTTTTTGGACCATCACTGTCCAGTCTTCGCTAATTTATGTCCACATTGGCCTTTCATTTGTTTTTCTCCCTGAAGAAACAAGAACATGAGCGGCCAAGAAGAGAAAAAAACACCTAAAACCCATAGACGCCCATACAAGGTCTTTATTTACTAAAGAACATTTGTGTTTTTCAAATCTGTGCAGGGACAAATGTGCACAAAGAGAAATAATTTGTGGAATACAATGTAATCGACTCTAAAGTAATACGATAATTTGTATTGATGATGATGTGTATTTAACACCAATGACATTGAGCAGGTGCTCGTTATTACCTTTTTAATTTGTCGCTGCAAATTAAACAGATTAAACCGATTTAACAGACACAGCCGTTAACCCAGATAGGAACAGTTGGACTCTGCTCTCCAGGTGAATTTGTAGAAGACATCTCATGTGATATGGTAAGACTCTAAGAGTCCTGTAACCAGGCAGAAGGTCACGTTGGATCAGTAACTCTGCTTGCAGGAAGGTCTGGAGTTAAAGAAGAATTGATTCAAGTTTACAAGTAAAAGGAAAGGGGATGCAACCTGTGGCTCCTGAGCCACCTGTGGCTCCTGAGTCTCACTCCAAGACCACATTTCTAGCTTGAAACCGTCTTGGTCGACTTGTTCTTTTTTCCCCAGAACCCTAACACTCACACCATGAACTACATTCTGAGACATACACAGTAAAATGTGCCTCTCGTGTTATTCCTATTCATGCCTTGACTCAGGTGAACTGGGACATGGAGTAGACGACTTGAATGCTTGACAAAATAACTCTCTAGTCAGGTATTCAGGACGTATAACTCAATGTCCATTAAAAATTCTTAGTGGTCTCTCAGAGTTGAAGAAACCTTTGGGAGAACACTGTTTTTCAACAGGCTTTATAAAAGTCCAGTTTTAGCCTACTTCTCTGTCTCTCTGGATTTAAACTGATGAGAACCTTGAAGGACAGTACCCATATACAAATCCTCGCACGGTGCAATCATGGTGTAAACGGTGATGCAAAAAGCTGCCAGTGGAGGTCAGTCAGGGTCAATAATTAGTCATATATGGAGTTTGAACATTGAACATGACTTGAATTTTTCCCCAGAACTTTTTATGATCGACCTGGTCTTGGAGGACTCCACTGTTCCTAGTTCTAAACCTTTAGCCCTGGCCTCCTGGCAGGCGTCATGACTTTGAGCTGCAGAGCAAAAAGAAACCAGATGAGGTCAGTGTTGTTTTAATATGGCACGATGCTCATATATTTCAGTGGTACTCACCATTGTATACGAATTATGATCTGATAGTGTCTTGAATATCACCTATGTATTATATTTTGATAATTGGATTCGATGCTTTATGATGGTGCATTACTTAAATAGACGAATAGGTAATAATACTTACACTTTCACAATAAAAAAAAAGATCCATGGGATTGGGGGTGATGACCTGGCTGGGGCTGGAAATTGATTCATTAAATTACTCGGACCCAGACGAAAGAATATTATAATTTGTCACTGCGGCTTGCATTCATCTTTTTTTTTTTTTTTTTAGAATTAGACTTTAACTTATGATCAACCGAACTGAACCCCAAGCGTCCACTTTGTGAAAAAAGCGCAAAGCTCGTGCTGTGGTTCGGTCTTTCCTCTTTCCCAGTCAGTCAGTACTCCTGACTCCCTTCTCATCCCCTCTCCTCCCCTTTCTTCCCTCTCCTCCCTCCCATAGGATGCAGGATAGACTGACTGGTCTTTAGCTCCCAGATTGTTCCGAGGACAGTCTGGAAACACGCGTCTGGATCTGATTCCATTTGTCTTTTTGTCAATTCATCCTTTTTTTTGTTTGGCATTTTTCTCCACAGTCTTCCTTTATCCTCCTCTGGACGCGGGGCGCATCGACACAACAGGGATTATTTTAATGATGGTTCGACTCAAATGTAGATTTCCAGGGAGCTGCAGCTGAGGTTTCCCTTCGGAGTCCGCCTGGATTGTCACAGCGGGATGGATTCGCATGAGTGCGCGGTGCTCAAACTTTTCTTAGTTGGCGTTTTGGGTGAGTTTCATTTCTTTGTCTTTATCTGTGCGCGTGCATCAGCCTGTTGTTAAAGGACAAGTGTTGCAGCATCACCGACACTGAGCCTGGACTACAGTCAGACCTGAGACGTCTCACTGTACATACATGAATAATCTGCCCCGGGATGTCGACGTTCTAGTGCGTGTGTGTTTTTGAGCGCGCCCCTGGATGTTAGGGTGGATGAGAAGTCCACTCCATCTCACACCACCAGTGATGCACTGAATGAGGAACACCCCATGCCTCAGTGGACAGACCTGACCCATATATCTAGGCCATTGGAGATGTCTGTATCTGGCTCATTAGCTGGTGGCTGCTACATGGAATAATTCATGTATGAAATGATGCTTCCTGTGGTGCAGAGGCCGTGACCGTGAATTGTGGATGAAAAGGTGGAGGCAGGACATGGACATGACTTGGAGAATGGAACTTTAAGACGTATACTGCTGATTAGATGCCAATATCCAAAATGCCGATATTGTCCAAACACTTAATTTCCGATTCCGATATCAGCTGATACTGATATAGGCCTAATATTTAATAACATAATGTGTACAAACCACTGTATGAGTATGAGATGAATTAAATGGGCAGCAATGCCGCCATCTAATGATTTTCACTTTAATAAACAGACGTTTATCCCCAAAACGAAACCCAGGCATTGCGTTATCGGGTTTTCATTATCTGAGGAAAAACCCATAATGATGCTGGCAGACATTACATAATTATGCTAATATTGGGCCGATAATGCCGGTTTGCCGGGCATGGAGCTACTGGGAGAAGATCTTTAGAAAAAAAAAAAAAAAAAAAATAATAGCATGGCTCCCCTTCAGGTTGAGATGTCTATTAAAACATTAGGAACTTTTTAGGTCACATTTCCATATAAAGGTTATCAAACGGATATGTAATACTGACGCTCATTGGTATCAAACAGTTCTGGCAGATGGGAGGCAGGGCCAGTTCCATATTTAAGCTGCTTTGGATGGAAATGCTCATGTTGTGGACGCGGTTCAGAAGGTGCAGAGCTGTTTCAGAGCATTTGCTGTTGGTCACACACTGATAGAGTTCTCATTGGACAGAGAAGCTGTTATAGACTTACATTTCCAAGGTCTGGTAATTCCTAATGACCGTGAAAGACCTCAAGGCCTGAGCTTAGTTATTGGTTTTTAGCCCACACAGCTTTGGTGCAGTAAACCTGTTAGAAGAAGAAGATTCATACAGAAGGATGTGAATGTTCAGCTCGGATTGCCCTGGATTTCTGTCAGGTAGCAGCTGTGGCTCCTGTAGTGTCTTTCCATCATCCAGGCAAGGCCAAAGTTTCATTTTCTCACTTCAAACATTATTGATGTCCTGCCTGTAATTGGTGTTTCTGGCATCGTAAAAATTGGATCTGTAAAAACAAATGTGCATATATTAGACGGTGAGTTTTACTGCGATACTGTAGCATGCCCTACACATCTGTGGTTTAAAGGAAGAGTTGTCAAAGATATGGTGTGATTAGACCATGTGAAGTTTAAGAGCAGTGTTTTTTTTTGCGGGGGTGAGGAAACAAAATCCTCAGAGAAAAGCATCTGCGCAAACCAATAAACAGCTAATCATCCTCTCTCACGGGGAGGTGAGACGCCCAGGGTTGTTCTGTTGTACTGAAAACAAACAACAAGATTTTTTATTATTTTTCTCTATTTTTGACGTCGTAAATGCATTTGATGTCTGATGATCTTTGGAATCTCGGTGCACACGTTTGACGTAGGTGTTAATCACCTGACACACTTCTGGACTGAGTTTACCAATAAAGACAGGTCAGATGTGTTGTGCGTTGGCACACACAGTTCGACAGTTTATTATTGTGTGAGTCTGCAGGAAAAAACGTGAAATGAATGATCTTCAGTTTACATTACTTAAAAAAGTTTATGGCTTTCCATGGAATATATGCCAGTAGGTGGCGGTAATGTCGTCTGTCGATGGAGCCCTGCTGATAAAATCCCTAAGAAATAGAAAAGTTATCTAAGCGTAGCACAGCTAGGCTAGGACAAAGAGAGTAGTTGTCCTTCTCGTCTAGACATTCTACAAATATATCAACTTGTTTTGATGAAGGTTAACAGGAGTTTGGAACTCCTTTAGATGTCATTTATACTGAAGTATAAAACCTAGTGGTTTTAAAAATGTCTTTTTCATTGGTGTCCCTGTGCATGTCCTTTAACATGCTTAGTCATTTCTTTTAATTCATTTTTCAAGGAATGGAAGAGTGCGTTTTCTGATTATGTTCTGATTGTGGTAAAAATGTTTTTATTGAACACTCAGGTGTGAATTTACCAAATTGAATCCATTTAAGGCTTTAACCTTAAACAATTTAGTGAAAATGTGCACAGCTGTCGCAGCTGTGAGGTTGTGTTCTGATGTTTATTTTCCCACTCTCTCCTCCCCGCAACTAAAATATACTGCAGTTTTGTTCTGCTCGGGTTGACTAGTGTTCACTTTTTTTGGCTGTTGCAGCAATTTTGCAACATGTTGTGAATAAAGTAGACAGATTGTGTGTTAGAAGTGGATTTTCTGAGTTGTTGGTCAAATTGTGATACAGTGGTCCCCCGTCTATTGCACAGGTTCCAAGAACCCCTACTTCACGACGAGAAACCGCGAACTAGAGAGACAATAGTTATTATGTTATTTAGGTTTATATTAACCCTTTACGAAACCCTTTAGGAGGCATTGCAGGGCATTGGATATGGGAACAAATCTCGTTTACCAGTTATTTCTTGCAATAGCATGTATGTATGTTACAAAAAAATTCCTTTTTTTCAGTTTTTTTTCCTTAGGCTAGAAAATGCTTATTTTATCACATAAATCATTTTAAAAAATGGTAATTTAAAATGTTTTATATACAGCAAAACCTGTTCATACTGTAATTATTAAAAAAAATAAAATAAACATTTTATAATGGAGACATCAGTTCAGAAAGAACAAACAGAAAGAGAGTTTTTACCAATGAGTCTGAGCTGCCAAATCACTGGTAGAGGGGACAAGTTGGAAATGACCCCGCTATGACAAATTCAGCCGAGACCTGTGCAGACACACACACACACACACACTGAGGTGTGTTACTCAGGAGATCTGACTTAGGCTGATGTCAGGATTCTAATCAAGCAGCTGAAAAGGTGGTGGTGAGAACTCTGGGTGGAGGTGCTTCCGCCTTAACTCGCTGATAACTGAAGGGACTTTTGACGACAGGAGAAGGTCACACTCCATTATTGCAAAACTTTTTATTCACAGTGTGGATAAAAACCTAATGAGGTAAAATGGTGTTGTAATGAGCCAGAGATGTGTCTGTATCTGAGCTGGGCGCTCTGTTAGGCAGCTGTCCAATTAGCTCCTGGACTGTGCTCAACCAAAGCTTTATATTTAATTAATGCTCAATCAGCCATTGTCTTCAGGCACTGAAGGCTGAGGCTGTGTGGAGGCGCCGGGAGTTTTACCAAGAGAAGATAAGCTTTGGACAAATAGCTGAATGTGGCCAGGCAGTATAATGATTTGAAATCACATCAAATCAAATTACACGTTTTTTTGTATTGTATAATTATATTGTGTTAATTTAATATAATGGAGCAGGAACGTCCAGGAACAGACGGTTCGTCTGCTCCTGCAATATAATGTTTTTCTCTGCCCTGAAAACACATCAGGTGCATGGTATGAGTGAAGCTGTATTCTAGTTATATATTGAAATATTAAAAAAATCAAAAGTAAATAAGATAATTTTTTATGACCATTAAAAAAACTACCAAAAAAACATTTGTATTTGGAAATGTATTTGAATTTTTTTCATTTCTTTCAATAATTTCTATATATTAAATGTGCTTTAGAAAATGTTGCATTTTAAACAAACTAATTCAACTGTCGTGTGTTTTCTCTCCCAGAATCACTAATGCAGTTTGAGATTTTGATTTGAGTGGAGAATATTCTCTGACCTCTTCCGTCTGATTCTGGTCCTCCTGTCCTCCCGATCTGTTTGGGAGAGAGACAGTTGGACACTTGTTGGCTGTTCTCACTCTGAGAACAGCGGTCGTCTTAACCTCCTTTGTTTTCCTCTGCTCAGTGTGTCTGATAAAAGGGAGTATAGTAATATAGAGTATAACAGAGTAAAAACAAACTTGACTTGAAGTTGGCAGAGGTTTGTTCATTATTCAGATTGTGTTTTTCTCTGTTCCTTCACTGCCCAGATGGGTTTAGGGTCAGAGCTTCAGTGATGATACATTCCACGTCTGTGCTGCTTTTTGTACTGCGGATTGTACTGTGGCTGTAGTCAATGTCCAGATCTAGTTGACAACGTGGATTACACAGTGCTGTGTACTGGTGCTGGTGCTGCAGTGTTGGGACTATCAGGGACGATTTTGGACCACCTTCCAGTGACAGTTCAAGCTTTTTAATACTTTATGTAAAGTGCAGAGGTTCTGCATAAGCTTTATGAATTTTAAACAGCCCATTTATCTGACATGTAAAAAGCCACTGAGTGTCTAAATTTACATTTGTCTTTTTCATGAGTAACCATGCAGCTGTTTGTACTGTCAAAAGAATTCACCTTGTTTTTCCTGTCGCCTCTTTCTGTCCTTCCAGAATGTTTTTTTTTTCTTGCAGTTTGGCACAGTGGGAATCCAACAAAGATGCTAATTCTAGTAAGGAACCAAAGAGAAAGGCATAACTGGATAATGATGAAAGCTCACCGTGCTGAAGATTTTGATTTTACTAACAAATGATTTTGTAACTTATTTAGCGTGTTACAGTTTAACATAACAATGTTTCTTATCTGTCACCAACAGCTTGGCGGTGCAACTGTGCGCACAATCAGTAAAAACTACTTCAATTACACTGTTCTTAATACATGGTCAGAAACCCCCCTGAGGTGCGGCTTGTGGCAGCAGCTCAGGTCTGCAAAACAAAACAGAAAAGCTCGCAGACAGATGGGTTTTCTCCACAGACGCCTGTTTCTCTGAAGCTTGGCCGCAATTTTCCTCTCCACACGGCAAATGGATTGCATTTCAATTGGCCTGTTATCGCCTTAAGGTGGCTCACAATCGTTCTTGAAATGTTGTTCAACCGTAAGCCGTGTGATCATCAGCCCTCAGAACATTTTTATCATTATTTTAAAAGAAATTAGAAAAGAAAAAAATTAAAGATAAATTTACTTTTTTGTTTTTTAAAGCCTGATGCAGTTTCTTAAGATAAATTTACTTTTGTTTTTTAAAGCCTGATGCAGTTTTAAAAGTGTCAACGAAGGCTTAAAGGTTTTCAAACTACGGTTGTAATGACATGTTTATTGACTTGGATGCTTGTCACTCAGTGACATCAGAATTCTTGGTGCATTACCACCACCTACTGGGTTGGAGTGAGTACCAACGTTACTGTGAAAAAAAATTAGGACAATATGAATGTGGAAATATGCTGTTTACATTAGTCAGCTCTACTTTTTTATTCACTTTTATAGGTACGGTAGCTAACAACAAACTGTTAGCCGTTACTGTTAGCAGTAGCAAGTTGACCATCAAACACCCGCCGAGTTACATTTGGAACTTTTGAAACATGAAACTGTTCCTGCCTGATCCTGCCAAAGAGAACTGACACAGCTGTGATTAAAGACCAGGCTGACATTAACAAATCTGGACTAATCCCCCAACTTTAAACCCAAGATTGACATTTTCATTTTTTTCATAGCAAACTTTGGTATTTTCAAACTTTTAATAGATTTCCCTGCTGCCAGCTGCCTTGTTCAGTCTGAATTAATTCCTCTGCCTCACCTGGAAAATCAACTGGCATGTGAATAATAATCACCCAGCCGCCATTCAAAGAGTTTCTCAGAGAAAGTCAGAGGAAGGAGCGGGAACAGATTCTAATCACGAGGCTCGTGGCACTATCTGAGACGTCTGTTGTCTGAAGGTGAATGCCTCTCGAACCCTGCTGATGGCAATTTTATAAAGTCGTAGTCTGACTGACAGGTCTCTACATCCTGAATCTTAAATGTTGGTCAAAGTGAGGGTGAGTTTACTGGGCAGGTATAGACATCAGTGTACCATGGCTGATTTACATTTTTTCTATCAATAGCAGGACTCTCACTCAGGCTACGTCTGACCTTATCAACTTAAATCTAAGCACCATCCAACCAAGACATTTCCATACAATTATTAAAGATCCATGCTCAAATCCTAGGCTGCGTTGTAGAGCTATAGAGCTAATTAAGATGTGTTGACCTTTGCACTGTGAAGCAGTGAAATGAAATACCTGAGGCGTAGTGCAGTCATCAAGTGGATGATAACTGTCAT